ACATTTATTTTCAGTTATCTTTTTTTGTAGCTTAACAATAAAATAAACTAATAAAGGGTTACATTAAATGAAATGACAATCTCTAAACCATCCCCCATCATTCTCCTTCTCTTTTTAGATGGGATGGTGGGCCAAATCAAAGGGTACCATGGGCCAACTTTGGCCTGCGGGCTTCAGTTTTAGGATCTTTGATCTAAATGAATGAAATCTTTCAAAATAGAGTTATTCAAATCATCTGGTGAAATTAAATTCATATTGCAATATATATTGCTACTGTACAAAATGATGCAATGTCAGATTTATTTATATATATATATATATATATATATATATATATATATATATATATATAATATAATATAATATAATATGAAATAGAATTTATTTAATTTAAGGGACTACCAGGGGCCTGTTTCAGAAAGGAGGTTAAGTGAAAACTCAGAGTATTTTAACCCTGAAATGAGAGAAACTCTGGGTTTTCCGTTTCAAAATGGCAGGTTTGTTAAACTCGAGAAAGCAGGGTAAGTCAAGCCTGTTTCTGAAAGAAAGGTAACTTTAACTCAGAGTCAGTTACTGTGGTAACTTACTCTGTGAATCTAACCTGGTCAGAAGCAGGTTTTATTCTCTAAACTCAGAGTTTCTGTCGGTCTCCTCCCCTTTTTTAAAGATGAAGCGGTATTTCTCCCCTTAGCCTTACGCCTCCACACACCTATTTTAATGCTTATTTTGGATACGTGCATAAAAACGATTGATGGAAACGTCATGATGCACATAACTTTTTAAAATATGCATAAAAACGCGCATAACTGAGTAGGATACACTTTTATTCGATAGAAAATGTGCGCATAAACTACGATGGAAACACTTTTACTGAACAAATTACAGTATGTACATTAAAAAAAAGATCATGATCATATGATAATGAATGTGTGTAAATGAACAAACCAGCAGGCTCAGCACACTGTAAGACGTCTTAAATATTGTTTTAGTCATTCTAAAATGCCTTAACTGTTTCAGTATTAGTGTATATTATTAATTACCTCCGAACGTCTGGTGCGTGAGTCTCCGCGTCTCATGGCTTCAGACGCCCCCACGTGTTCATTGTGTTTCAGCATTGTCTTCTGACATCGAGGCGCAAGTACATTAATTAGGCTAAATAAAGAATTAATTGACGCAGCTTCTTCTACCACAGTAAATTCTGTTTTTACTGTTGATATTTGGTGCCAGTTTAATCAGAAATTGACGATTTTTTTTCTCTTTGACTCGTTGGATGGAATTTTATTCGCATCTTTTATGCAATATTCCAGTTTTGCACATACATTTATGTAATATATTTGGATGGAAACATAGCTATTGCCTACATTTTGTCACACAGGGAAGAACTGTAATAGAATGGCTTATGCTTTTTTAATAAATAATTAAATTAAATTCACCTTCAACATGCACTGTAACTAGATTAATGGGATTATTATTCTTTCTAAAAATTATTTTTAGTACTGCTTACCTTCTAAATGTTATATTAACCTCTATCACTTGATCAATAAAAAAGGCAGACACACAAGTGCACTGTTAAATCATTTAAAACTAATAAATGTATAAAAAAAAGTTTAGAAAAAAATATAAACGTCACAAATTACATTACTTATTTTATTATACTTAAATATTTAAATACTTAAAAAGTGAAATTAGGCATTAACTTGAGTAGCTGTTTTCCCACGCTAACTGTCTCTTCTTCACTAATGGTTGCTTCTTTTCAAATATATACGCTCATATTTGCTATAACTTTGCATGAGAACATCAAGTTCAGCTGGAGAAAGAAATGGTGATCTCTTTTATAAGATATTGCCATTGTCACTCGTAATGTCTGCGCTCCATTGATAATGCCTTTTTAAAGTCACGGTGTGCGCGCTTAACTCTGAGTTGGTCTACTCGAAGTTGATTGACCCAACTCAGATCAGCTGTTCTGAAACCGAAAACTCTGAGTTTTTAATCTCTCGGTAAATCAACTCAGAGTTCAAGTTTAAACTCTGAGTTGTTTGAACCTCCTTACTGAAACAGGCCCCAGGTCTTGTGCGACTGTGTTTGTTTTTGCAGTATTGCAAAGTTAAATCTGTCTGTTAAAAGTAATGTATGTAGCACTAGATAGTAATAAAATATAAATTACTGTTATTTTACTTGTATATCATATTCTTGTAATAAAGGGGCTTCTTAATTGCACTGCAGAATAATACATAAATAATCAAATAAACACCTAATATATTTAATAAAATTATTTGTATTTTATTTATTATTCACAATTTAATATGTAAAAAAATATATAAATGGTATATGTAATGATTTATTTTTAAATGTATATACATAGCAGTAAACATACTAAATGTTAAAAAAAAATTGAATTAATGTATAACATTAAAATTAATAAATAATATAACTTTAAATAATGACCTCATTTTATAATAGGATCTAAATGCGTATTTGATTTAAAAAAATTCACCTAAAAGTATTAATTTTGTACTTTGATAAGTAAGGTTTTTTTTAAGCAAGCGTGCTGAAATATCTGACATTTTGTAATCTCTTATCAGGATAACAAAGCAGATGTTATTTTGAAGTATAATGCAGACGAGGCTAGGAGTCTGAAAGCCTACGGAGAGCTTCCAGAACACGGTGAGTACAGTATATTTCATCTGAGAAACATAACGTCTGCTAGACCGCTCTTGATAAAAGCAGCTTCTTGGCTTGGGATATGCTGATCCTTTTGCTGCACTCTATTAAATGCAAAGTCATTACATTCGTTCCATTGATGTTTTTGCAGCCAAAATCAACGAGACTGATACCTTCGGGCCTGGGGATGACGATGAGATTCAGTTTGATGATATCGGTGATGATGACGAGGACATTGATGATGTAAGTACTGACGCACTCTTGTAATCTGAAGTTCAAGATTTACAACAAGCTATATGTTTTTGAGGGATTCATTAACAGTTTGGAATGTTCTCAATGCATGAGTTTTACTTATCTATTACTGTTTTGTGTTAACTCTGTCGTGTATGTTTCCCAGATCTAAAAGATGCTGAGAAGTGAATATTTCTCAGTCCGAAGTGAAAATCCTCCCCAGAAGTCGCCCCTCCATCATTATGTACTCGGAGGCTCAAGTTTTAGGTTTCTCTGACTAAACACACAACCGCTTTGTCACATTCAATTCATTTTGTTATCTTTTAATGTATTTATATTGATTTCACATCAAGTGGAATTTAGTGACAAGTACAGAATCTATGGATTCGCAATAAAAAAAGATAACCAATTTTATGTTTGGTCTTGCAGTCTGTGTCCTAAAAGACATTCAAAACCTCTGTAAAGATGAGTAAGACACTTGTGAGAAAAGCTGATACCTCTAGATAGCCTCTTGTCTTTTTGAATGTTTTTGAAAAGTCTCATCATTTGCTGGTCACAAAATCGATGCATTGGCTGATGCATTTATTCAGAAAGCCTGTCTCCGACTTGCTCTGTTTTAATCCATCTTCTTTTCTTTTTTCTTTTTGTATTCAAATGATTGAGTACCCCTTTTTCCAGGGCTGCTTTATGAAAATAATCTTATGTGTTACTAGCTTGACACTAAGCTACAGTAAACATCAGCAACTGAAATATTTGTAAGATGAAAATGGAAACTTCTTTTTCTTTTTTTTTACTTTCTAAAACGATACTCACAAAGCAAATAACCAGACTGAGTATTTTTGTATGCACGTAGGCAGATTAATGCAAAAGTCAGGAAATTTTATTGATTGTATTCCTGCAGAACTGGCCCTCTTGACTGAAAATGGTGGTTGTTGGTTATAACATGTTAATTTTAGCTGCATTGTTTTGATGAGCTCACGATGCTTGCTTTTTGTCCTCTGCTGCTTTTTATCAGAATTGATTTTGAAATAAAATTCAACGACATTCAAAATCCTAGAAATTTGTGTTTTTAGCCTTTTGAAATCTCATGCATTGATGCTATTCTCTAGGTTTCTTTTGAGCTAAATGACTCCCCTTTTCCCACCAGTATTTCTAAAATATTCAAAGTTGTCTTTATGTCTGTTTGTGTTAGATGTGCATATATAAAACCAGTATAATTATAGTAAGCATGTATCTAGCCACAGGCTTCAGTGATATTAGTCACTGTGTTTTGCTCGGTCACGTGTGCTGCAGTGTGAAAAACCAAAGGTTGCCTATAGCACGTGTCTGCATGCTCAGACAGATGTTAATACAAGCGAGGATAATGTTGTGATGAGGAAATGGTCAATAGAATAAATGTTTGTCATTGATTTCAAAGCAACATTGCAAGGTTTTGGCATAACATAGACACACATAAACAGATGCATGTAAAATATGCCACAAGAGAGATACTCTAAAAGAAAGTATGTACAATGGTACTGCTAAATTTTGCAAATGGAAATATTTTGTGCAAATAAAATCGAGTACAGAAGTGCTAAATAACAATATTAGAATACATTGGTGTATCTTATGTTTAAATCAGGATATGTAAATACAATTAGTATAAATGTGACAGTAGCATGAATATATGTATTGCTTACTGCAAATATGGTGTCAGTGCATTTCTAATATACTTGCAGGCTTGACTACAGATTCTATATGTATATTCTCTGAATTGGCAAATTTGGTTTGCGATTTGCAAATTTACAAACCAATCATTTGTTGATGACTAAGATTAAGACAAGTATATTTCCTTTTAAAAGAAGCTTTGAATATAATAATATGTGCATTGTTTGTGCATATTATGAGTCAAAAGCTAGTGACTGTCCAATTATCAGACAAAAGTTGTGTTATTGTAATTCTTTTTGACAACTGAAACAGGCATTGTCTTTTTATTTCTAGACACCTTTAATGAGCGTCTCTACTCCGGGGGAAATAAATGAGATTTCTGCTCTGTGCGCAGCTGTCAAGCTTTCCAGATATAGCGCAATGTAAACTATGACGTAATGCGTTGCTTTCGCGTGCGCGCGCTCGTCACGCGGCGATTGGTCGAGCGTGTTGTAATTCATTAGAACCTCGCGCTCTTTCAGCCTGCACTACTGCTGTCTGCTCGGAGACCGTGATGAGGGTCGAATGAAACAAACCTGAGGTCAAACTGCTCGTTTTTCTGTCGATCTTTTGATTTAAATAGTGATCGATAGTTAAACGTATTGGGTCGGAATGCTGTCTGGATATTGAGCATTGGAATACACCCAGAGAAAAACTGCAAATGGCCACCGTCGTGGAAAACCTGATAGGTACGTCATGTTTTTATGTTGTTTAAAATGTGAGCCTCACCCAGATATGACAGTATTGATGAGCGGGAGACAGGGAGAACGAGCATCTAGAGCTGTTGTCATGGAAACAGGCTGCTGAGGTGGGAAACGAATGAGCTTGACCTGTCCAGGTGAACTTAAGACCTATTTTCCAAACCAAAAAATGCAGGTATTGTGTGTATAAAAACATATTAATAATAAATAATACATTTTTATAAAATCAAATATTAGAAAGCACTAATGGTTTTCTGAAATACATTACATTTTCTGAGACACTGTATATTAACCTCATTTCAAAATTGAGTATTTGTATCCATTTCTCTGTGAATATGGGTAATATTTGGGTGCATTTAAACAGAACAGATTTATAACATTTAATAAAATAATATTTTAGTCACAGCGTCTTTAGAAATAGAAAGATAATTTGAATTCTTGTGAAATAATGCAAAAATAAATTGCGAACTACAAAATTGCAATACTATTTCATGGATTTTTTTTTTGTTTTCTTGTTTTTTGTTCTTTTTTCATGCATGTAATATTTGATTAATATTTACCCTAACACATATATTGGGCTACATATTTTTTTAACCATTATTGTAAGTTATTTTTTTTGATTAGCTCCAGATTGGGCTTCAGTATCTAATGTATATAATGTCATTCAATCTAATGTATATGCACAAATATAATATTGCAAGTCCAAAATTAAACAAAAAGTGCTTTGAGGTAGCTCAAATAACACGTTGGTGCTCTTTGGGATTCATCAGAAAAAAACAGCAAAAATCTGAATAAAAGCAGTTTTTCATTTTTTAAAAAACATTTTAAGGTCAAAATTATTAGCCTCTAATTATTAGCTGTATTTTTTTTTCTCGATAATCTACAGAATAAACCATGGTTATACAATAACTTGCCTATTTACTCTAACCTGCCTAATCTAATTAACCAAGTTAAGCCTTTAAATGTCACTTTAAGCTGTATAGAAGTGTCTTGAAAATATCCAGTCAAATATTATTCGCTGTCATCATGGCAAAGACAAAATAAATCCGTTATTAGAGATGAGTTATTAAAAGTGATATGTTTAGAAATATGATGAAGAAATCTTCTCTCCGTTAAACAGAAATTGGGGAAAAAACAGGGGCAAATCATTCTGACTTCAACTGTACTAATCATTTAAATGACAGATTTGTGAGAGGTGTTCTCATACATGCTGAGCACTGTTTATAAAATATACACCCACAATAATTATTTATAATAAATGTATTATCAAAAAAAAAACTGACTTTCATATACAGTCACATTAACTGCTATTATGCAGCCTAAAATATAAAAATAAATAAATCAATCAAACCATTGTTTTAGCAAACACACATTGCAGTATAATATGTATCAATTCAATAAATATATGTAAAATGGCTGTTTTTGAAACGTTTGTGTACTTGTTCTCAAAACCTCAGTCTTACTGACATACAGGCCATGGTTTTCACTATTAGCTAATTATAGCCATTTCTTCTATCAGATTAATGAGAATAAATGTGTTTGGTGTCGTGTTTATTGTTTTGAAGTCATGCATTATGTTTTGCATATGTGCAGGGTGCAATTTATAGGGGGGTCTAGGGGGGATTGACCTCCCTAATTAATACTTGATCCTCCCTGAAGCACATCAAAATAAAATGTATAGGGGGTTCTGCTCTTTAATACTGAGAAAATTTTGCTCTGCTTTGTTTTTTTAACTAGTCATCTTAATAATTAAAATTTATGTTAAAAAAATCAAATTTAGGCAGTCATGGTTGTGCAGTGGGTACTGCTGTCACCTCATACAGTAGCAAGAATGTCGCTGGTTTGAGCCTCGGCTTGGTCAGATGGCATTTCTGTGTGGCGTTTGCAAGTTCTCCCTGTGTTTGCGTGGGTTTCCTCTGGGTGCTCTGGTTTCCCTTCACAAGTCCAAAGACATGCAGTACAGGTGAATTGGGTAAGCTAAATTGTCCATAGTGTATGCGTGTAAATGAGAGTGTATGGGTATATCCCAGTGTTGGGTTGCAGCTGGAAGGGCATCCGCTATGTAAAACATATGCTGGATAAGTTAGTGGTTCAATCCTCTGTGGCGACCCCAGATTAATAAAGGGACTAAGCCGAAAAGAAAATGAACAAATGAAAATCAAATGAATAATATAATATACATTTGACCATCCCTTTAATGGTTCATACCACTGTGAATACTTGTTCACGCCAATTAGTTTGTGAGAAAGAAACTCATTCAACAGACTGAGATTGGCAGATCTAGCTGTTTGTTCCTACATATAGCCTATCAGTAAAGTCAAATTAGGTGCATAGTTTGACTCACAGTAGCCTCACAAGTAGTTAATCGGATACTGTATAGGTCAAAATACGCAAAATATACCACAAAACACTGAAAACTTATCAATTAAATTAATGTAATTTAAATAAATTCACTGAAGGATATTTTACAAAAACTAACATTCTGGAAAAGTTGAGCCCTCCGATAGTCCTGCATACTGTATGTGTGCATATTTGCATTCCTTATTTGATTTTGTGAAGCATACTGTCTCATATGAATGCATTGTCCTTAAAAAACTAAACAAATAAATCTCCTTAACTGAAAAAAGTGCGTTATATTTGAACCCAAAAGGAAAGTGTCAGTCAGTGCCACAGGCTCCGCTATGATTCCTGGAAAATCGTTTTATAAAAAAGCGCATGTGTTTCCCTTAAGCACCGTGACTTTGCATATATTTGCATCCATTACACAATTAAAGCCAATAGTTTCAGCCAGCTCTATTTTAGGCCTTGTAACAGGGTCATAAATGACAGCTTAAAAATAGTCATTAAAAAAGAGAACACTTTTTTTTTTCTGGATTTAGTAGCTACGGAATTAAGTAAAATGTAAGTATAAGATCTGCTGAAGCTTCTTTTTATTTTGCAATAGAAATATTGTCTGCAATAATCTTTTTCAGAAAATGGCTCATGGTGAAAAGCACAAATTTTTTTCATTTGGTGTGATTAAATCAGTGTTTTTCCTCAGAATATTTATTTATTTTGCATTAAAACGTTGATATGTCTGAAAACATGGCAGCTTTTCTGTTTTACCGTTTTGTTTTTGTTTTGTTCTGTAAAGTATGTGGTGATTTATTTATTTTTTCCTTCCAAAGTTAAAATAAGAACGTTGTTTTTTACAGCATTAAATGACAATTGGTCAAAATAGCTATACGGAAGCAGTATTTACATATAACTCTTCATAAAATATTTGACCACTGTTTTTGATTTACAATTTTGAAGAAATGTTGCCAGAATGTTACAGAATAAATAGTGTCATTTCATCAACAAAGACCTTTACAGTAAATCCAGTACATCTGGAAGAAAATCACAATTATTTCCATAGCTGAGTATTATATGAATGTTTCAGACGTTGAAAGGTTTGTTGATTGTTTGTGTGCATTTTTTAAATGTAGTTTTTTCTCACTTGCAAAAGATGGAGGGTCAAAAAAGGACAGAATTCGACAGGCCAAAGAAAGAAGAGAGGACAAAGATAAGAGCCAAGGTGAGTCTTTTATTAAACATTCTTTATGCCTAAAAACAATCATTGTTCGTAAATGTAACAAATAATTCCAAAGAAACAGCAAGTAACATTAGAATAAGTGTAACATTTTGAAGAGCAATACTGGGCGTCATGGGGGGGGCAAAGGGTAGTATGGTTCGAGCCCCGGCTGGGTCACTTGGCGTTTCTGTGTGGAGTTTGCTTGTTCTTCCGTGTTTGCATGGGTTTCCTCCAGGTGCTCCGGTTTCCCCCACAATCCAAAGACACGTGGTATAGGTAAATTGAATAAGCTAAATTGGCTGTAGTGTATGTTTGTGAATAAGAGTGTATGGGTCTTTCCCAGTGTTGGGTTGCTGCGTAAAACATATGCTCGATAAGTGGCAGTCCATTCCGCTGTGGTGACCCCTTGATTAATAAAGGGACTAAGCTGAATGAATGAACAATTTTTTTTTCGTATCATGTTAAAAAATAACCATCTAGATACAAGCAATAAATGATAATCTGCCAGTGCAGTAAGACAATTATTCATTCAATCATCCATTTTCCTATGGTTTAGTCTCTTTTTCAGAGGTCACCACAACAGAATGAACCGCCAACTATTCCAGTAAATGTTTTATACAGCAGAGGCCGTTCCAGACACAACCCAGTACTGGGAAATTATTGGGAGTTATTGTAACAGTAGGAAAACGTATCTAGGCATTATTAAAGAAAGAAATGTCGTTAAAATATGTATTATAACACTTATTCCAAGCAGTGTATTTAGTCTAATTATCTTAAAACTAGCTTGTTAATTGTCTTTTAAACAGTTTTCTTTATTTCTCATTTTGTGTGAAATGTCTTAAAACTATTGCAAACTGCATAATTCATTTTTATTTAAGAATTGTCATTAAATATTCTGTCTTAAAATGAGATTGTTGTATAAAATAAATCAGGACCACACATTTGCATATTGTTTACAGTTTTTTATTCAAATTAAAACTTGACAGTAGTTACAACGCAAAATTATTACTGGTTGCTTTTCAAAATACCAAAGTTTAATTAAGCAAAATGAACTGAAAAAAAAACACAAACTGAACTGTGATACGAACTGAATCTTACTGTAGGATGTTGCTGTTTTTTTTAGTTATATTGTGAAAATTACCGTACTGTATATTTTACAGTAAAGATATAAATGCTGCAAATACATATATAGCAAGGTAAATGGTGCTGTAAATGTAAATACTGTATTTTTGCTGTAATTATATTACCGTAACTAGTGAACTGAACTGTTTTATGAACTTAATCTTACTGTAGGACAGTTATGCAGTATTTTGCTGTATTTAAAAGTTTCATTGTGAAAATTTCTGTATATTTTACAATAAAGATATACAATGTCGTAAATACATACACATCAAGACAAATGCTGCTGTAAATATAATTACAGTATTTTTGCTGTGATTTACAGTAACTGGTGAACTGAACTGTAATATGAACAGAATCTTACTGTAGGACAGTTATGCAGTCTGTTACTGTAATTCGAAGTTCCATTGTGAAAATGACTGTGTAGATGCGAATATTTGGGTCTTGGTTCTGACACGTTTGTTGTTTGAACGGGTTAATAAAAAAAGTGAAATGTCCTTACCTTTGTAAATAAAGTTGGATATTCAAATCCATTTATTGTCCATTTTGTCAAAATTAAAACAAACATAAACCCGTTCTCACAGCATGGCGGTCAAAAAGTTTGTTTGACCTTCTTCTTCTACACATCTCTCACTTGTCCTGAGGAGAGCATAAATACCTTATACACCCTCTAGTGGTGCAAAAAAAATTGCAACCCATAAATGGCTCCAACAGACTGTATATATTACAGTAGCAATATACAACACTGTAAATACATACACAGCAAGACGAATGGTGCTGTAAATGTAATTACAGTTTTTTTTGCTGTAATTGATTTACAGTAACTGACAAACTGAACTGCAATATGAATAAAACAGGACCACACACATGCATATTGTCCACAGTTTTTTTATTCAAATTAAAACTTGACAGTAGTTACAACATAAAATTATTTCTTGTTGCTTTTCAAAATTACGAAGTTTAATTCTGCAAAACATAACAATGTATTTTGTCATTAAATGACAAACCTAGGCAAACTTAAAACAAGTTATTATAGCTAAAAAATAAAGTTTGAATGCAAGGCTGGTCTTAAATTATGTCTTCAACTGTAATTAAGCTAAATTTGCAGGTAAAATACCTAACTTTAATCTTTTCTCACTTAGCCAAAAAGATTTTGTAATCTTTTTTTAATTAGATTTTTAAAATCAATCCCAATAATCTTACATACTCTGATCTTGCGTAATAATGAAACAAGATCAATACGATTTTTGAGCTTGCACCATGATTGTTTCTTTTTAAATTTATCAACATTTGCTGGTTCAAAACCCTTTATGAGTTTCTTTTTTATGTTAACACACAAAACCAGATATTTCGAACAGTAAACCAGACTTTGAAACAGTAATCCATGCTTTTATAACCTCCCGCTTGGACTACTGTAATGCCCTTTATTTTGGGGTGAGTCAGTCTTTGATCTCTTGACTGCAACTGGTTTAGAATGCAGCTGCACGTCTTTTAACTGGCACACGCAAATACGAGCACATCACCCCGATTTTATCTTCTCTTCACTGGCTGCCCGTGCACTTCAGGATCCATTTGAAGGTACTTTTATTTATTTTTAAGTGTCTAAATGGCACTGCACCCCTTTACCTCTCTGAGCTTCTCTGTCCCTACACACCTTATCGTTCGCTCAGGTCAGCCGACCAGCTCCTCCTGGGTGTCCCCAGGACCAGTCGAAAGCTCAGAGGGGATCGGGCTTTTGCTGTGGCTGCACCATAATTGTGGAATGAGCTGCCGTTGTACATTAGGCAAGCCTCTTCCATCACTGTTTTTAAATCTCTTCTTAAAACCCACCTGTTCAATTTGGCTTTTAGCACAGCTTGAGATGTTGACATTTTATGTTTATTTATTTGTATTTTAACGTTTGTTTTACTCTTTGTTGTCAGCACTTTGGTCAACTGTGTTGTTTTAAAGTGCTTTATAAATAAATTGAATTGAATTGAATTTCAAAAAATGTTGTAAACTGGTAACCATTGACTTCTATGAAATGAAAAATAATAGTATGGAAGTCAGTTTTCAACCTTCAAAATATCTTTTGTGTTCAGCAGAAGAAAGAAACTCAAAGCAGTGCATAGTGAGTAAAATATACCCGAAATTGCAATATTCGGGTTGAACTATCCCTTTAAACTCTGTTTACAAACAAAACATTCAGTTCTTTCTGTCAACAAAAGACTCTCGTGAAATAATATATTCCTTTCAGCTTTAAAATCGTGCCTAATTCCTAAATGGATTTGGTGCCAGTCTGCTGGATGAGTTAAAGCAGAAGGTTATTCCAGGGCAATAGACTTTTGCTCCATTTATCACTGAATCTGATGGCTCTTGAGCAGTGGGAGACTTCTGATAATACCTCTAAGTGCTTTAGCGTGAGTGAATCAGTGTTGTCAGCAGGTATGGAGAGGTTTGGTCTTTGGTGTGTCAGGCGATCTATATACTGACCCATCATATGTGTGTGTGTGTGTGCAGCCCTGCGGGAGCGAGCGCTGTGGGAGAAGGAGCAGCGGGCGCAGCAGCAGTACGAGCGCTCGGTGGTTGAGCGAGGCAGGCGTCTGGAGGAGCAGCGACACAAGGAGATGCTCCGCCGCTCTGCTGTCGAGGAGAAGAGACGCCAACGCGTGGAAGACGAGAAGGTCAGAGCTTTTGGACTAACTTTGTATCATTCTGAAGCTTTTTTATGTATCTGTTTTTACATTCTTTTAATATGCACTGTTAACAATTTTTTGTAAACTACAAAGTATTTAACTGCGATATTAAATGAATGTTACTGTATTTTAAAGTTTCATAGTAAAAAAAAAATGTGTATGTTTATAGTAAAGATATACAATGCTGTTAATACATACACAGCAAGGTAAATGATGCTGTAAATGTAAATACAGTGTTTTTGCTGTAATTGATGTACAGCAAGTTACTGGTGAACTGCTTCCAGTAAGTTGCTGTAGACTCTACAGGAAATTGTTAACAGTGTGATATTACAATTTTTATTTAGAATTCTTGTTGGGTTATTTATTTTTACCAAGATCTTAAGGATGATGTGTGTAATATTTTGGTTATTAAAATACTATAAAATACAGTTTTTAAGGTTAAAGGTTGCAGATGTTTTGAACAAAAATTTTACTTTTAATATTTTATTTAACAAGGGGCTTCCAGAGGGCTGCGTAGGAGTACTAGAGGGTCAGTGCAAAAAAATAAAATAAAATAATAATACTAAAAGTAACTTTAAAAATGTAAAATAGTTATTTTAAAGGGCATATAGTTTACCCCTTTTTAAGATTTAATATTAATATTATGGTTCTTCTGATTGTGCCAGTTTAGGTTCAGTTCAAAACACAATTTTGATATTTTTTAATAATTTGTTAAAAAGTGTTATTTTGGGGGCGTGTACACAGGTCGCTGTTTTAGGGGTGTGTTGCTTCACATGAAAATTAGTTTCAAATCCCTGCCCAACGTAACAAGGGGTCGGAGTCAAGAGCTCCCCCGCTCTGTGTTTGGCAACAGACAGGCACACAGAAAGAAGCAAGTGAGAGGATCAGCATTCAGTTGTATATGTACGACTCTGACACAGACCAAGCAGAGAGTACACAATCATTTGTGTCTTTGTATAGTTTTACAGCCAACTGTTTGCTAGTTTAGAGTGTTGTACATCGAGCTTGTACACCTAGACTAATAACCACACACACTGAATTAAATTTGACTGAGGTACCGGAAGACCCGCTTAGAGCCGCGAAACGGCACACCAGACACGCACATTCACATGTTATTTAAAATGAAACTATTCAGATGGAGCTCTGTGGCGTAGCAGAAATATGAAGTGTCCCGAATCATGGCTGGGCTCCGCGGACAGCTGCCGACTTGAAGCGTCGTTGTGTGTACCCTGATAGAAACCTATGTTTAAAATTCTAAAATGCATGGCGCTACGCTGCACGTCGCCGAGCAGCACTTCTGGTGTGCAACCTGCAGGCAAGTTTGTTATTTTATTTCCAGTGGAGCGACACTCACGTGAGGCAACGCGCTCGCACTTTCCAGCTGCTCCTGTAGTTAAGATCACACTCACAGGGAGCTTGTGACCGCGAGAAATGCATGCGGCTGAATTTTAAGGTAAACGCAATAAAAAGTACACTAGTTTGCAAACCTACCCACAAACAAACCAAGTTACAAACAATAATTCCGGTTAGAGCGATCATGTGGTGCATGTTGATCTTGTGTTGAGCCCAATGAGCCTTGCATCTAAAAATAGAGCAAGGGTGTTTCTTTGGTGACATCGCTTTGACTCACACGCTGAAAATGGCGGATGTAAAACAAGAAACTGAGGATATGGTGACGTGCGCCTGTCAATCAATATTGGTGGGCGGGGGAACCACACTCCTACTTCAAGTTGCAGTTGATCTAAAAACCGCTCCAATTGGTCCACCGTTTTTATGTTGTTAAATTGAAAAAAAGGACTGGGTGTGTTTATATCACCCCAGTATGAAGGTCTATACACTATACTTACACACACGTCTGTTCAAACAGCTTGAAAAGTAGATTTTTCACCATAGGCGCCCTTTAACGAATGCTGCAAATAATATTTAAATAATCAAAAATTTTTGAGACAAAGAAGCAAACACAACTTATAAAAAAGAAAACCTAATAATTGAAAACTATACATATTTTTATAAGATTTATTTTATAAGATTATTATATCTAGATTATATTAAACAGAATTCTATAACATAAAATGTCAAAAACAACGTTATGCAAAATTTGATCTTAAAATGTAATTAAAATAAACAAAAATCTAAATAAGGATGAATACATTTTAGAATAAAATAAAACAACAACACTATACTGAAGTAAAAATGTAACAACTAAATGCCAAATCATATTTTGATAAAATATTTTTTGGTGCAAATGAGGTCTTATAAAGAAAATCTTGAGAATGGCAATACAAAACATTTGTAAATATATAAACAATATAAAATGATTATTTAAAATTGCAATAGCTTAACCATATTACTAATTTTATTACATTTTGGTCAAATAAATGCAACTTTGGTGAAGAGGCATAAGTAGAAAGTAAAAAAGAAAAGACCAACCCCAGATAGTGGTGTACTGTATATACTGCAAACTGTTCATATTATATTCAAATAAATATCTGTAATATTTGGAATATTGGAAGCCCGTTTATGTATATTTGGTATTTTACTATTTACATGCGACATCTTTAAGACAGTAAAGATAATGGATCCACTGTTTTTGCTCAAATCTATTTACTGGCTTTCCACCTTTTCTAGTAGTTTGTCAAACAAATGTCTGTCATTGTTGTCATAACAAGTGCCAGATTTTAGCCTGTACACTGAACAAAAGGCTGTCAGTAGCTATTCATATTTGTGATGGTAGCATCATACATGTTGACATTTTTAATGGGCTTTTCTTAGATTGTTGTTGCAAAGTTGTTGTTTTTTTTTTGTTTTTTTTATTTGCTCAAATGTTGAATTTTGTTTTATAGTTCACACAAAAAAGAAAATTCTGTCATTATTTACTCGCCTTTCACTTTTACAAACCTCTGAGTTTCTTTATTCTGCTGAACAAAACTTGAGATATTTAGAGGAATGTTATGAACTGTTTGCCATTGACTTAAATGGTATTTTATTTTTCTCCTATGGATGTCAATGGCAACCAGTTTCCTTCAAACCTTCTTCAAAATGTCTTCTTTTGTGTTCGTACAGCGGATTAATACAAACAAATAAACTCATAAAGGCGTTTAAACCACTTAAAAGTGAGTAAATGGTAAGTAATTTGTCATTTTCGGGTGAACTACTTCCACCTTTTGTGTCATCGAGCTTTGTCTTAGCAGAGAGCGAAGTCTTTGTTGATATTGATTGAAAACCAGCCGCCTGCAGTCAGATGTTAGCTGATGATTGGTGACTCTCTCTGAAGTGCTCAAATGACCTCACTGTTCCCGATATCCATTCTGAACTGACACCTACAGTACAAATCAAATTACACCAGGAAAAAAACGTGGTGTTTCTTAGTCAGGGTGTGTTTGGAGAGGGTAAAAGGGAATGCAGATGTAAAATACTCCCTGTTGCTTGCTAGCAGACTGCAGTGGATCACTGCGTACAGGGTGTGGTGGTGTTTCTGCTTCTATAATGTCTAATCTTACCTCAGATGACTCTGGTCTTGGATGGAGTAAAATGAATTCTGGCTCGTTTTCTGCAGTGGTATCCAGCAGCCTGGCCTGTTTATGTCTACCTGCGGAAAAGATGAAGCATGAGCCACCTAGTTTTACATACTTCCTCGTTAGTCTACTTCATTCCATTGATTAAATGAAAAAGTAATGAGATGTGAGAGGAGGATATAAGATACAAGAGGGGGGTTGAATCTTCCCGAAAGGGTTGCTTTGCGATAATGATTGTACACTATTAAGCTTATTATAAGGCTGCTTATGAGGCTACTTTATGATGAGATCAATCTTGTTGTGTAATTGTGCCTGGACGACACTGGTTGAATCTATCATCTTCATCTCCACCGTCTACTTTTTATTTGATTGGTTGCTTTTATACCCTACTTACCTGGATAGCATTCATAGCGCTTCACTTTTTCCACTTTTTCCACTTTTTAATTGTTACAATCTTATTCCAAAATGGATTAAATTAATTTATTTCCTCAAAATTCTACACACAATAGCCCATAATGACAATGGAATTATTTTTTTTTAATTGTAGCAAATTTATTAAAAATAAAAAACCTGAAAAAAACTCTAAATTGAGCTGAGGTACATTCTGTTTCCACTGATCATTCTTGAGATGTTTCAGCAGCTTAATTTGAGTTCACCTGTGGTAAACTCAGTTAATTGGACATGATTTGAAAAGGCATACACTTGTCTATACAAGGTCCCAGGGTTGACAGTGCATGTCACAGCACAAAGCAAGCATGAAGACAAAGGAACTGTCCGTAGACCTCTGAGACAGGATTGTCTCGAGGCACAAGGCTGGGGAAAGGTTACAGAAAAAATTCTATTGCTCTGAAAGTTCCAATGAGCACAGTGGCCTCCATCATCCGTAAGTGGAAGATGTTTGGAACCACCAGGACTCTTCCTAGAGCTAGCTGGCCATCTAAGCTGAGTGATCGGAGGAGAAAGGCCTTAGTCAGGGAGGTGATCAATAACCCGATGGTCACTCTGACTGAGCTCCAGCGTTCTTTTATGGAGAGAGGAGAACCTCACAGAAGGACAGCCATCTGTGTAGCAATCCACCAATCAAATCTGTTTGGTAGAGTGGCTAGATAGAAGCCACGCCCCTCCTGGAATTTGCCAAAAGGCATCTGAAGGACTCTCAGTCCATAAGAAACAAAATTCTCTGATCTGATGAGGCTAAAATTTAACTTTTTGGAGGGAATGCCAGGCGTTACATTTGGAGAAAACCAGGCACCCCTCATCACTAGGCTAATACCATCCCTACAGTGAAGCATGGTGTTGGCAGCATCATGCTGTGGGGATGTTATTCAGCAGCAGGAACTAGAAGACTAGTCAGGATAGAGGGAAAGTGAATGCAGCGATGTACAGAGACATCCTGAATGAAAACCTGCTTCAGAGTGCACTTGACCTCAGACTGGGGCAACGGTTCACCTTCCAGCTGGACAATGACCCAAAGCACATCACCAAAATATCAATGGAGTGGCTTCACAATAACTCAGTGAATATCCTTGAGTGGCCCAGCCTGAGCCCCGACCTAAATCCTATTGAACATATCTGGAGAGATCTGAAAATGGCTGTACAACGTCGCTTCTGATCCAACCTGATAGAGATTGAGAGGTACTGCATAGAGGAATGGACAAAAAAAGACAGGTGTGCCAAGCTTGTGGCATTCAAGACTTGAGGCTATAATTGCTGCCAAAGGTGCATCAACAAAGTAATGTGCAAAGGCTGTGAATACTTATGTACATGTGATTTTTCAGGTTTTTTATTTTTAGAAAATTTCAACAATTTCAAAAAATCTTTTTTTTTTTTTCACATTGTCATTATGGGCTATTGTGTGTAGAATTTTGAGAAAATTAATTAATTTAGTTCATTTCGAAATAAGGTTGTAACATAAAAAATGTGGAAAAAGTGAAATGCTATGAATGCTTTCCGGATGCACTGTGTCTTTTCTTTTGTCTACAATGAAAGTGAATTGGGCTAGATCTGTCAAGCTACAAAATGACAAAGAAGTACTAGAAAAATTTTTGCTCTTCAGTGTTTGAACTCTCAGTAATGATTAAATCACACTGAACTGAGCTAAACTGAACTGAACTGAACTTAAACACTAAAACCTGAACCACACTGTTCCAGTTACTGAACCACACTGTTCCAGTTACTATGACCATTTATGTGAAGCTGCTTTGACACAATCTACATTGTAAAAGCGCTATACAAATAAAGCTGAATTGAATTGAATTGAATTGAAAAATGTTAAAGGTCCCGTAAAATTAAAACAAAGCTTTTTTTAGATATAACAATATCTATAAGCTAGAGTGCTCCAAAACAGTGACAAAATTCTCATTAGAAGATATGAACATCCAAAACATCCAACTACTTTTTTAATGTTACCTCATACTTCATCTTCTGACCAATCCAATGATCTCTTGTATCTGATAAGCCCCACCCCCTCAAAACACTTCTCGTTTAATTTCATAGTTTGTTTTTAATCATGTGGTTCTGTTGATGCACAAAGTTCAGATAGAGGGCAGGAGGTAAAAACTGAATGGCAGACAGAGGAAAGTCCGTATTTTTGCGATTTTTATAATATATTTTAAAGGAGATGTAAATAGAAAATAACCACATATGTTGGGCATGATCCTTAAATCATGAATAGGGTTGAGTTTTCTACTGAACTGAAATATATATGCCTGTCATTATTATACTTCAAATATTATATTATGAATACTATATTGTTTGGAAGCATAGATCATTTCTTGAATTAAACTGTCGTAGTAATTATATTATTGCTGTGGTATGACGCCACTGTAGTAATAAACAAATTCAATAGGCTTCAGTTTTCTACGCTATAATCACAATGCACCACAGTTTACACTAGCGTTACATTATTTATTTCAGTTTATCAGTTTACTACAATATTATGTAACCTTCATTAACAAAGAGTTGTACAGATTATACACTTTACTATGTGGTTTAAAAGCATATTTATTATAAATTACTATAGTTTTTTCCCATGCAGTTATCTTCCAGACATCACAAAATAACAGATGAAAGCATACAAAAGCGTGGACACTTAGTCTACATTGTTATTTATTTATTTTTGGTCTAGTTTTGTCACAAGGGTTGCATTTTTTTTTTTTGTTCGGTCAATGAAATTAAGTTACTATCAACAAACATTCACCACTGCTGCGCTTCTCGATGTTATGATTGTTTATTCCACCGAAACCCCAGTAAAGACATGGATTAATGCAAAACAAGACGGAGATTTCAATGCAGCGATTACATGGCAGGGTACATTATTTATATTCTCCTGGATTTTGTAAAAGTGTGGTGTTTGCATCTGATTTTTATGTTAACACATTAATATATAGACATAGCTAGGCCTGTATAAAATCTTTATTAGTGCTGTCAAACAAACTATTGTGTTACAAAAAAATTTGTACACTTGGATGTATTGAATAACTGTTTATTACATACATTTTTCTGCCAGTTTCTTGAACTTTCCCCCCTTTATGAGCTGAAACATTTGGAAGTCTATAAAAGCTGTTCGGCATTTCTTTTTTTGTCCGACTTTAACAATTATAAACGCCATAAAACAGAAATATTTTGATGTTCTGGTAGCGATTCCCTTGTAGAAGAACTCCTTGCTGCCCATCTGAATTTCGCGTGTCATCAATGACGTCATGTGAAAACAACCTATTTGACGCGCTTGAGGCAGAGCTGTGATAAAAACAAATTGCTATTGGCTGTTTTTTTTTTTTATAAAGGGGAAGAGCTCAGAGGACTCCATTTCATACTCCCATCCTCATGTTTCAATCGAGAATACATCAAATTTAGAATAAAAATGCACATTTCAAAGTTTTATGGGACCTCAAAGACTAAGACCCATCTCTAGTTCTTTTATATACCACTACATCCACTACATCTTTTATATACTACTACATCTATGCCTACTTCTTCTCCTTAGCCCTTAAAACATAGCATGATGGGCAGGGCTGAAAATATTCCCCTAAGACATGGGACACCACTACTACACCTGCACACATCATCATATGTTGTTGCTGGATCATATGTCATATGAATTAAGAATTAAGATTGGTAGTATGGCCCTAAAAAAATGTTTTTTGTATTTGAAGAATGAAAACAAAACATGAAAAAACAGCAGTTAAGAAAGGATCTTATCGTAGAGTTTTAGAGATTTTTGCAAAAGCTCTGCAGTTCATCATGTCAACAGATGAGGCCATTCAAATCGCATTGCTTGATTATAAACTAAATAACTATATAAAATATAGTATATATAGAATATATAGATATGGCATAGAAACATTAAATTTACAGTATAGAATTGTTCTTTCTGTGCATTATCTTGAACAAGATTTTTAAATTAATTTGAGCAAGAAGCTGTTCAATCATCTAATTCAGGGGTTCCCAAACCCTAATAAAACAATAACAATGCCAGTTACTCACAACCCCCACATGATCGGAGATAATTATAAATATACAAATGTTGTACACAGCAATAGACCTACATAAACACAAGCATATTGACAACACAAAAAAAGTCTAAACAATCCGACTAACAATCATAGGCTATAATTTATATAGTAATTTCTTAATGTGTTCAGTGTAAAGTATAATTTAAAGACATAACGAGGTTAATTGGGCAAGTTAGGGTAAATCAAAAAATATATCTATTTAATTAATTGGCTAATAATATTGACCTTAAAATGGTTTTAAAAAATTAAAAACTGCTTTTACTCGAAACAAAACAAATGAGAATTTTTTTTTAGAAGAGGAAAATTCCTTACTCTGGTAAACATCATTTGGAAATATAACAGAAAAAAAAATCATAGGGGGGCTAATAATTATGACTTTAACTGTAGATAGATGGATGGATGGATGGATGGATGAATGGATAGAAAGAAAGAGAGAGAGAGACTTGGGTGGGGTGGAGAGAGAGAGAGAGAGAGAGAGAGAGAGAGAGAGAGATCAAAAGCAAGAGCGACATAAACAAAAATATATAGACTTCCTTTTTTCCCCTGATGTAACCCATGTCATTTAGATAGTCAGTGTGTGTGTGGTGTTTCTGTGCATGCGTGTGTCATCTGCTTATGGGGGAGGGTGTAGGTGGAGTTACGTATGGTGGTTTTCTCTCTCCTCCGTCTGGCTTTGCTCTCTTAGACACACAGTCACCTGGGAGGAGAAAGAGAGAGATACAAAGAGAGTGTCACTGAGAGCGAGAGAGGCAAGGCCCACGTCATTGGGTTTGCACGCATACTGGGAGCAAGAGCAGGGGGGAGAGAGAGAGACGGTGAGGAGAGGTGTTGGCCATGGAGCAGCCAGCCTCATCCCCGTCAGCTCGCCGGCGCAGTGAAAGCTCAGTCAGAGAATCTCTTTTCTTTCCTGTTTTGGAACGCAACGAACAGGAGCGACTGGAGGCCCTGATGCGACGTTCCACGAACCGCAACCTCCAGGCGGATCAGAGGCCCAAACGCTGGACGTGGTGCGGACCTCCGGGAGCCTGCGAGGGTGAGTGTGTGATGCTTGCGAGGGTGTGGAGAGTCCCCTGTGTGAACTCAGGCAGGGTGTGGAAACTGCACTGCAGCTCTTTTGTTTTAAAAGCCGGCCGAGGTATTGACTGAAAACAAACAGATGCAGCTGTTTTATCCCAGAGCTGCAGTGTCACACAGCCGTCGAGCTGTTGCTGATTTCAAGGAGTCGCCCCAGATGTAGAGAAACACTCGAGGTGTCAAGGTTAGCGCTGTCAGGGATTGATCAGAGGCAGTGTAAATCATCTGTGCAATTGCTCTGCTATGGGTTGTTTCAGCTGGAAAACAAACACTATAAACTGCGCTGTCATATTAGGCGGCGTAGCTGAAGGTGTTTTGCTCTGTCACTGCCACAATCTGACTTTAAATAATTCTTTTTTCCCTTCTCAGCCTTTCAGTTACACATATAAGTAGTCCAGAGGTGAATCAATTGCACTAAAAACAGTTCTTATTTAAAGACAGATGTGAAAGCACCACCCTAAATCCGTGGTGCATTCATAACTCCATCAATTATTTACACTGTCCAAGTGCAGAGCCCTGATCCTGATACTCCATCTAGACAGCACACATGTAACGTCTGTTTTGTTTCTCTAGGTAATGGCGAATGATTAAGATTGAGTTTGTTCGCCCTTGGAGAGCATTAGGCTCTCTGATAACCTGATATCATCGCATCAGCTGCATGCTGCGCTCTGGGTTTTTCTGCTTTTATTAGCAAAATTACTTTTCAGTTTTTTTTTTTAACAATATGCAGCATTCTGGTCAGAGATGAACTGCTGATTTCAGTATTTCACAGGGAGCACATTGCTGTGATTTCTGATTATACTGGTTGTGATCTTGTGAAATACTCTTACGCACTTGTGCTTGTTTCTGCTTTGCATCACCTGCTGCGCAGGTGATTCTAAGATTGCCCCGCCTTGCCCTCCTGCTTCAGCCTCCTTAGCCAATGAACATGCTGCTCTCACTCCTGCCAGCAAATCCAAGAATGGTACTGACGTCCTGCTACTTTATGTGTCATCTGCACTCACGTCTCTTAATGTTGAGTCACAGTGATTCATGTTGTGGTTGTGATGGTTTGTATGTGCATGAGGTTTACGTTTTATATTGATCTGTTCAAAAGTTTGTGCTTGGTAGAATTATTTAAATTTAAAGGGCACCTATTACCTCTTTTTCAAGATTTAAGAGAAGTCTTTTGTGTCTCCAGAATGTGTCTGTAAAGTTTCAGCTCAAAACACCCATCAGATTATTTATTATACTTTTCAGATTATTAGAATGTTCTGCTCTGAACACAGTGTAGCTATTTTTGTGGCCTCTGCCTTTAATGCTAGTTCTTTTCGCTTGTCAGAGTGTGCCTCAATCTCCGCCTTGGCTGCGTCAAATCTTGCGTAATGTTTGTGAGAAATACTACTGTAAGAATTTTCCCAATGATTACTTGATGTATTTGTTATGGAGTTAATTCAAGCCTTTCTGCAACGATGAGTCACACAATATCATTACAAAGTTTACACACACACAGCCCACACGTTTGACTTTGCACTGTTTTTGCACAGCAAATGTGACAGGATATACGTTAATATCCACTGCTGTATGGATATCTGTTATGTTAATGTACAAAATACACCTGATTTAATGTCCACTAACCAGGATTGAAGCATCTTCTTTTGTAATTGCACTGACGTGCAGCTGTGATGATAAGTAAAGCTTATTTAAATTGCTGTAATTAATTAAAATGCACTAAAAAACGTTGTTAAACTTGTAAAACTCATTCTTGATCACATTTGATGATGAGTGATGACCACAGAGAGTCAAACAGATCTTTTAATTCCAGTTGCATGTTCACGTCCTGTCTTATTGATATGATTATACATGTTACTACGGAGACATGTATATACGTGGCTGTTAATCAAATTGGTGGGCGGGGAAACCGCACTCCTACATCACGTTGCAGTGGGCCTCAAAATGGCAGGGATTTGGATCTTATTTTAACGTCAGGAAAATAAATAAAAGAGGCTTATTGTGTTTATATCACTCTAATATGATTGTGTGTGTACTTGCATACAGTTCTGTCCAAACAGCTTCAAAAAGATGATTTTCATTTTAGGTGCCCTATAATGGCTGCATTTATTTATTGGAAAAAGCATTAATATTGTAAAATATTATTGCAACTACAATAGTGGTGACAGCTGAATTTTCAATAGCTGTTACTGAGTCATATGAACCTTGAGAAATCATTATAATAACTGTAATTCTATTAATAAATTAATTAAATAAACTAGACTTATTTGAAACATAAATATTATTTCAAGTGTCTAAGCTATAACGTTTGAACGGTTGAGCAAACCTAATGCAGCATTGCTCAATTGGATTAAAAAAAAACAACAACTTTTGAACAGTAGTGTATGTTGAAATTGCTCATCTGTGTTTCTGATGTGTTTTCTTGTCTATTTCTGTGGTTACTTGGGTTGTTAATGGTGCTTTTCAAGGCAAATATCTTGTTATTCTTCATTCTTCACTAAAAAACTTTTTGACTTTGAAGTAGAGCTGCTCAATATATTGTTTGAGCATCGATATCACAATGTGGGTATCCGCAATTATCACATCAAAGGATTAGATTGTTTATTAAAAATTAAAAGATATTATTCAATTTAAATAATTTATACATTAATGAACATGTAATTTTGCCTAATTGCTTAGTTTCTGTACCTGAACACTCTTAGACTCTCCATAAAACCATAATGCACATTATTCCACTTTTATCTTTGTCTTTCGTATTTATACCTGATTGTAATTTATTATAATTTATGCAAAAGAACTGCATTGGAAAATTCTTGATCATCCCAATCTATCTAAATAAATGACATATTTCCAAATAGAGCTATTAAGTTCACATGGTAAAATTAATGTAATAAAGTTTATTGCAGAAAAACAAAATATTGCAATGCCAGATTCTTTCAATATCATGCAGCCCTACTTTCAAGGAGAGACATGAGTGTATGTAGGAAAAAGAATAACAAAGTCAGCATTTTGGCTCAATCAAACAATCAAAATAAAAAAAAAAAATTAAAAAATCTATTAGTATGCAAAAAACTATGAAATTTACAATGCTTATTTTGCTAGGGGGCATTGTTAGTCTTAGGCTTAATAATAAATCTGTGCAAGTTATTTCACTGATAAAGAGGTTGTTTTGGTAATCTTTTATCAATATCTGACCATTTACTTCTGCTCTGGAATGGTGGTCCTTCTTTGATGATGTCAGTTTAGCGGTTTGGGTGAACTAGTGTTAGCCACGCCCTTCCAACTGTTAGTTTTCTGCGAGGTAAAGATAAGAGGAGAAGCCAAAAAAAAAAAAACATACTCAATATTCTGTTTCAGCTGGAAATATGCCACCAAAGAGAAATGAAAGTGCAGCAATTTCCAGTTTTTTAGATATTTACATATGCTGCAATAGGTTAAATATCACTTAGAAGTCAGAAGCCACCAAACAACAATATGCTGCTTTATGTTATTACCAATTGACTGTACTTGACAAAATAATTATACAAATGTTATCTAAAAAACCAAAACTGTTATATGAAAAGACAAGCATTTTCAGTTCTTTTCCAATCTATTGTGTAGTGTTATCTACTCAAAACTGGGTTTAACTGTGAATTGTCTTAAACTGTGTTAAAAACCATCATTATATTCCTTGGAATGTGTGTTTATAAGCAGTTTTAGGCTATATTTATGTCGGAGCACCCTGGTCACACCCTGTCATCAGGATTTGCATTGGCAAGCACCTTTCTTTCTTGTGTTTGTACTGTATGAGTAGTCTTTACTGTTTTGTCTGTGTTGTTTTCTTCAAAAGGTTATTTCACCTCTATGTCATTCCAAACCCATAAGATAAAACACAAATGAAGATATTTTAATCAGAGTTTTCTGTTTCTCCAAATTTATCATCAAAATGTTCGCAAAAAGATAATAAATTATATCTATATAAATGTGAAATGATCCTTTTATTCACACAAACATTGATCAGCAAGCAGACTTGAAAAAGAATACCGTTACACCTGAGATTAAGAAGCATTTTGGCTTACTGGATCTGATTTCATTGTGGGAAGGAGTGTTTGATATGTTTGTGTTCAAATTGGGACTTGTAAGAAAATCAATCAATAATCAATCATTTATGAACAAGGGTGTAGGTTCGCTTTGGATGTTGGTGAGCACATACATCCCTAGAGTGCATGCATTGAACAGCATAAATTCTGTTTTGTGCTATTAAAATGTAAATAAAGTACTTAATAATATAAAATAAACACTTAATAATAAAAATAACAATTACATTCCATGTTGCAAAGATCACTTAACATGATTTTACTGCAGTCGGGCTTTGAGGAGGTATGAATGGGGAGATATTTAGAAGGGTTTGTGATGCAATTAAACTGTTTTATCCTGATTATTGTTTTTCATAATCATGGAGGCCAAAATCGAGACTGAATTTGGATTAATTGCATTACTTTATTTTGAAGTCTATTAAATTATTGGTAGGGACATTTCAGTAATTGGTGGGGACAGGTCCCCTCCATCTATGCCAATTCTACGTCCTTGCATATATATAATTTTGAAGTGGCATATGTCCACTTATGTTAAGGATCTTTGTGCTTGTTTATAGACTTATTAAAGTGGGCAGATGTAAGTAGCCATATTTTATTTTGGTGTTTTTATATATATTTCAGTATTTGACTTTATTTGGGAGTATTTTGGGCTTTTGGTCTTTGGTCTTACAAGATTGTGCAGATTTATGTAGAATCTTTGTAAATGCAAGTGTCACTACATTTAAAAAATTGCTAGGTTGCAAATATGCAAAAACCCAACGTTTTTGCCATATTTGACCCAACACTTGGTTACAACAATCCATATCAGCTTCAATACCAGCATTTTTCAGTTGTTAATTGAGTTGCTGAGTGTGATTATTAACTCATAAATTACCAAACGAAGTGTGTACAGAAGAGCATAAAGCCCTAAAGTTGAAAACTGAATCAGTGAATATAAACAGAAAGTCAGCCATACCCGCTTGATGCATAATAACAAATATTAGTGGTTTTAAAGCTTAAACAAGCTGGGGCATACTGATCAATGTTTATATGTCAATAAAACCTAAATTAAATGTGTTTGTCATGTAAAGCGATGATGTCTCTTCAGAACACTTGGATTGAACTGCTTATTTCATATTTTTGTTATTAAATGACTTTTAAATAGGGATGCACCAAAATTCTGGCCCAAAACCAAAATTCTGGATACACTTGACAAGAACTGAAACCAAAAATTCTTTGTGTGTGTAGATAAGTCAACACAGACACATTCTGAAAACGTATCCCTATATACGTTTCTGGAGTTCGCAAATTATGTAGCCAGAAGTACGTATAGCTGCATTTTGTCAATAACAGGGTTATAATGTGGTAAAATCTGAATATGTGGTGAAATCAGACGAGGGCTTTTCTTTTTCTGGATTGTTTTTTAATACTATCGGTTGCTATTAGGGATGTCGGTGGATGGGTCAATCGGTGGTTTTAAAAAACACTATTGGTTGGGTTTAGGGAAGCAGGAGGGTGGGTCAGTCGATCATTCATTTAATCAGTCAGTCAGTCAGTCAGTCAGTCAGTCAGTCGGCAGCAGCCTCTGGTGGATTTACGCAAGAACACCAGGCACGAATGGTCACGAGAGAAATTTCAGAGTTCAAAAAGCAAACATAGCGCCCCCTGGTGGATTCGCGGAAAAAAAAACTGCAAAAAACGTAGCTCCTGGGACATATTTGGCGCTCTCCAGAATTGTATATAGTGGTACGTTCTCAAAATGAGCCTGGGTTGTGAAGTATTGAGCTATTTTGACCATGGTGTATAGATGAAGTTGCTCTCCACTCCTTTTGCATTGGTTTGCGTAGCAAAAAACTCCACTTATCTGGCTCAGGCCATTAAAACAAATGGGTTTCATAGCACAGCATCTTATTGTTGGGCAGCATAGCCTTTTTGTCAGCTCATGTTTTCAGCTAAAAAAAAAAAGAACACGCTACTTTTGGCTGACAATTTCAGGCTGCTGAAATTTTGTGCATCCCTAGTTTTAATGTGCCAGAGAATTGGATGACTTTCAACTGAAAGATTTGAAAACTCTGATTTTACTAAAAATGTCTTCATTTGTGTATCAAAATCGTAAATATATTCATTTGGAATGACTTTGAGGTTAAGTGATTGAACACAGATTTTTCATGTTGGTGTGATTGTACTAAATTGTGCAGATCTCTTTGCAGGACACAAAATTTTATTGCATTATCTTTGGCGACCTTTATTTTTTTTTCCCCACACAGTAATATCATTATCATACTCCTGTCCGGATGTGAGAGGATGTAAAATACTCCGGATTCGCCTTGAGCTGCGTTGCACCCCATAAAGAATACACAGAGAGTCTCATCTGCCATCTCATTTTAAATTCAGTTGCACATCCCATCAAACTCTCACACACAAGCTACATAAACATCATCTGTACAGAAATCAACTTCACATAAACGAGCCCTGGATCAATATAAATATTCATGCCCAAATGCCCACTAATTATTAATCAGAAAGGAAAGCTTCAGGCATTTATCTTCTGTGAGTGAATATCATTATCATCTGTCTGATCCCTTTCCTTCCTCTCTCTCCGTAATATCTGGTTTCACCGCAGTCCAAGATTTTATGATTCTGCCCGACTCTCCAGACTCTCTCCTGAGCAGACACCTCTCCTCGTCCTCTGCTACTTTGCCCAATATGACAGAGAAAGGCAAGTGGTTTTGTATTAACCTCCAATATTTAAATGATTCCATTTTCTGCCCTGCCCCATTGGCTCCTTTGTCCTCCCGTCACCTCTGTGACCCCTCAGTGTCTTGTCTTTATTCCCGAATAGCCTCCTCCAGCCCTCACAGGTCTCCTTACAGGGCTTCACCCAGCAGAGCAGAGAGGAAGAAGGTCAGTGCTTCATTCTGTGGACCACTGGACGACTCCAGAGGAGCGGCCACCACCCCGAAAACCCCTCAGGTCTGATCAGCAGACATTTGGTCAGATAGTTGTTTTTGGTGCAAAGCACAGTGGGACACAGCCCTCAGAGAAGCCGGTCGCCTAGCAACTGCTCCAGTCGGATTTGTACATGTCCAGGTCATAGATTTATTACTGTAGATTTTCAACCAGGGCGGATATATAATACATTTTAAATACAGTAATATATTTATTACATTCTGTAGACCCATAAAGCGAGTTTTGTAATAGCAAATTGGTCTATTCTGATACCAATTTCATTCTTTAAGCTTGAAACAAGAGCTATTTTAAATATGAGTGTCTTCATTTGTTTGTAAAATTATCTTTCATAGAACAGAATTCATAGAAAATAATAATAAAATTGTCAATTTTTTTGAGTTAGATGCCATACTTGTGGCTGTTAATATTAGTATTAGTTTATACATCGACAAATGCATTTTAATATTTTAAAAAATCTATTAAAATTAATATTTAAATTTTAATAAGCGACATATTACACAGTAATATGTATGTATACACACTTTGAACACACGTGATACAGTCATGGACCATGAACAATAGATTTCTAATGTTAAATGCTTCAAATTTTTGAATATTTAAAAAATATCTTGTTTTAGGTTTTTATTTCATGAATAATTTATTGTTATGTCTTTTTATGGTTATAAACCTGTTCTGTAGAAAAGCGTTATTTAAAGTCTGTTCGTAAATTTAGTTTTTGCCGTGAAATAGTCAATAGTAAATCTTATATGGCAATGAAATATTTATTTTTCTCTCTCTTTTTCTGCAATTGCTGTAAATCTGTCAAATAGGGCTGTGTGATTTGGGGAAAAGATCTAATTGTGATTTTTTTTGACAGATATTGCGATTGCAATTTGATTATAGCTCAATAATCTGTTGGCCGTGGCGACAATCTAGCGACAGCTCTTAAAAATGACCTGTTTTTATTCGGTGTCTGTGACTTTAAAACCAAAATATCGCCATATTACAAATGCTGTTTTTCTTTGATATTAATTCATCTGTTATGGTTCTGAAGCAGCAGATCCCATAATCCCATAATTCCTGTTTGTTTTCTTTTTTTATTTGTGGTGTATTTCGGTTGCGCAATTCTGATTGGCAGAATGAAAGCGTGCTCACTCAATTGGCTGGTAAAAAAGCCCCAGTCAGATTTCGGCACAATTTCCTTGACGTAGGGTGTCGTGGACAGTCGTAAAACGACAAGTGGGTGTTGTTACACAAGATTCAATTGTTTCTTCTCATGAATTGTTGCTAATGTGGTATACCATTTGTGCGATGCTTCACAACACCATCACAGAAGGTCTAACATGTTTAATTTTCTCAACTGGTTTTGAAGCTCTTCACCTCAGATGGTATTTGTTATTCTTGTTTATCTAGTAGACAACTGACCAACAAAAAATAAATTAAAATTAAGATACAAATTATAACAAATGAAATTAGTTTCAAAAATATATTTTTTCCAAGAAAAAAAATCAAAAAATAAACCTCTGTCATATATTTGCAAATTTTTTTGATATGTCATTATTTTAAGTTATTTTAAGCATAAGTGTTTATTAAATTGATTGAAATTGAGATAAGTTTGCAGTGCTTGTGACTGCTTTGGTAAATAACGCTTGTCACAGACATCACGGAATGCCTGAACGTGAAGGAACGTGTAGTGTGGCACATTTGTTACCCACGACAAGTCAAGATTTTATCAAGACAAAATTTCTTAATCTGACAAAGTGACTTTCGTAACTGGCAATAAAAGTCATGTGATCTGACTGCAGCACCTCCAGCAGTCACGCATGTGCTCTGTGCGGGGTGAATTAAATAATGCATATATATTTCATATTGCAGTTATGTGATTAACTAATCGCAACATTTCAAATTGCGATTGTGATTCGATTTCGATTAATCGCACAGCCCTACTGCCAAATGTTATAAACATGACTATAAAGTTGTAGGTTGACTGAGATACAATTCTTTAGGTTTTGAGCTTTTAAGTCCTCATAGAGCAGTAAATTAGACAAATAGATAACTCAGGTGTGTGTTTTGGTTTACTTAGACTGAGAAGCCGGAAAAAAGCATCGCCCAAACTTTAGCTGACTCGACGATGAAGAAACTGGAGTCTCCAACAACGCCCACTCGAAGCTCCTCCTCCACTCGCAAAAACCCCAGCACACCGAAAAGGTGGACCTGTTGCAGCAAATAATTAAATGTAAAAAATAAAATCTCTTTTATAGACTTTAGATGGAGTATCTATGATGTTTTTTTTTTCTTGTGATTCAGATCTAAGTCTTGTAAGAGTCGTATTCAGTCTCCAGCCTCTCCGGGTCAGTTTCCTTCATCCCCAATGAGACACAGAGCCACAACACCCAGTGCTGAGAACAGAATTCGGGACGGGGAAGAGAAAATTTCGGAGGGGAGTAAAGGATACAGCACTCTAGAGAGAAAGAGCTCCAGAACTGAGAGAATGCCCAAATCCACAAGCAAAGAGTTTGGACACAACGCAGGTGAAAGCAACAGTTCACCTGAGATTAATGTTCTGTAATGTTCATTCATTGTTATTATTATTTTTTTTATTATTATTTAATTTGTCATGTTTCAGATTTTAAATATTTATCTTTAATATTAATTTTAATTAACTTTAATGATAAAAATGATCTTAATAGTTTTTGTTTTTATTTCAGATAGATATAGCAGCACATTTGGTGGGATCTTATACCATTTAATTTAATTTAGTATCACTATTTATCATTTTCCTTTTAAGTGTGCTTTTTTGGAATTGTATATTATTTTAATAGTTGAAATGTTTAATACAGTTATTAAAATTTTTGCATTATTATTATTTTTTTACCCTAACTTTAATAAACAATATCAACTAGCAGCAATAATTTTAATAGTTTTAATTTCAGATAGCAATAGCAGCACTTTTGGTTGATGTTATATAGTTTAATTTTGTATCAATATTAAGCATGTTTTGAAAAGCACAATACTATTTTATTTGTATTTGTATTTGTGTTTAAATTTATAGTACAGTTATCATAATTTTTGATTTCATATTAAGTAACCAGAGTAAGGTTTTAAATCTTTTGTTTTAGTTAATACCAATGATTGTTACTTTGTTTCAGGTAGCTATTTTAATTTTCCGTTTTTTGGACGTGCATCTGTGTCATCTTTTTAAAAATGTTTTAGTATGCTGTTTCAAATATAAAATTATTATTTTAGTAGTTTTATATAATAATTTCAGTTAACCATATCATCACTATTTCTGTCGTATTTTATTTTATACAGCATAGACAACTGTCATGATCACCAGCTATCTAACCTTTATAGATCACTTGAAAACTTACACATTTACATGGACTACAATCCTGTGTCAATATGAACTACAAGTCTTGGCATGCAACACACACACATCTGCTCCAAGTCTCCATTGATTACACTGATGCTGCTGCTGCTCATGGACTGATTAAACTTTACAAATATACAACTCACTTTAAAACACTCATTGCTAATGCGAGAATCACACTAGAGTTTGTTTTTGCAAAATTCTGTTGTACAGCACTGCAAAAAGGGTCATGATTAAACTAGATGATTTGGCATTAAAAAAAGAGAGCGATTGTTTAAAATTTCTTGTTGCACGACCTTGTGTTTCCTGTCTGATGTATTCACGTACATATGAATGGAAGTTTATGTGGATAAACGTGCCATGTGACCACAGCTTTAGTTTTGTTTATCTGTTTGTTAATTTTATGACTTTTTTCCTTTGCCTTGCCTTGCCATGTTAAACCTTTGCTTTGTTGTTTTGTTTGTTTACATTGCCTGCCTTCTGACCACTCGGTTTTTATTTTGTCTACGAATCTGGATTTGCCTGTACGCTGTTTGCCCTTGTGTTAAACGTTGCTTGCCTGACCATTCTCAGTAAACGTGCATTTGAATACGGATGGCTGACATGAAACTGATGTTTCAAAACATGTTGAGATCCCAAAGTGCAAGTGTTTTGAAACACTGGACTGAAGCTTGAAAATGGCTTTTGGGTTCAAATCCCGACTTGTAAAAATACTCCGAAATGATTATTTTATGTATTTTAATAATGTTACTGTTTTATGGTGTGGTCTAGATAGGGTACAGTTGTGGATACGCCATTATTATAGCATTATTTTTGTAACACTGTATAACAGAAATAAATATTTTTATAGTACTGTGACTGTTGGGTTTAGTGTTGGGGTAGACGTTAATAAAACACAATAAATGGGAAATTTAATGAAAAATGTCAAAAAATTATTGTTAACTTCTGTCCGCAACCATATCTGTTCCAGCAGCAACACTGTTTTATGACATAAACATGACATATTTATTCACAAAGTGTTTATTCGGATGTCAGATCAATGTTAAAACAAAACATATTACAGGAAAGGAGCATTTAAAAACTAACATCTATAGCTGCATCGCCCTGGGTTCTAACCCACTTTCGATGCATGCTCGTCAGGAACTCTCACCCCTTTAATAAATCACTTGAAGCTTCAACACTACAACGGGGGGTTTAACGCCCAATTCACATGGGGCTTCGGCGTCAACACTTGACAGAGGACATGTCTGAAGTTGAGCCTGACGTGATAGTCATAACAGCGTAATCCAATGAAATTAGTCAGCAATCGGTTACTGTCTGAGCTGATGTATTTGCATACAGGGATCTGATTGGCTGATGCTTCCGTTGGCACTTGAAAAGTTGAGAAAGTCCAAACACTGAAGCGGTGCAGACGGATCCACAATGCAGTTCAGAAACGCCTGACATCACCCATTCAAAGTGAATGTGATGTGAAGCATTGATGCTGATGCCCCGTCTGAATGGGGCGTAATACCTGAATTTGCTTAAGATTCTTTGCCAATTGTGTTCTGGAGTAATGCTTAAAAATGACCAATAGGTGTTACTGTAGAGTGGGGTTTCAAAACGTTTCGAAGCTTTGACACATTTGCTTAGACTGTTTTAGTGTTTCATGAAGCCTCGCTTTGCCCACCATTACATTTGGATCCGCATCTCTGTTGTCATCTACCCATTCTCATTATAGAGCAAGCAACGTAAACAAACAAAACAAAGTTCAAAAGCATGGCAAAGCGAAGGTTTAACACAAAAAGGCAAAAGAAATGTGTTGTAAAGTTCACAAACAGATAAACAAAACTCAGCAATAAGTGTCTTAGGCTGCGTCCGAAACCGCATACTTCCATACTATATAGTACGCTAAAATCAGTAAGCGAGCCGAGTAGTATGTCCGAATTCATAGAATTCGAAAATCAGTATGTGTGAAGTACCCGGATGACATACTACTTCCGGCGACATGCTGGAGTGCGCATCCCATGCATGCTGCGCTATCCCATGATGCCCCGCGAGCTTATACATGAATGGGAGTGAAGCGACGCAAATAACGCAAGTAGGTCGCGTGACTATTGACAAAATGGCGGATGTAGTACATCCGAATTTCTCACATTCATACTGTACAGAACTTACTTTTCTAACGGCCGAGTAGTACATTTACATTCAAATGCAGAACCTACTGAGTAGGTTTCGGACGCAGCCATTAAGTGAGCCGTATATATGTGAAGTGTAATCAGTAGTATCAGCTGTGTTAGTGTAATCAATGAAGACTTGGAGCAGGTGTGTGTTCCATGACAGGATTTGTAGTTCATATTGAAACAGGATTGTAATGTAAATGTGAATGTTCTCCAGTGATCTATGAAGGTTAGATCGCTGGTGATCATGACGGACAACATTTATCATTTACTTTTTTATGGTAAGATGTCATGTAGTAGCATTAGTTTGTTTTTATACATTTCATTTTAAGTAGTAATATAATTTTCTCTTTAATTTTATAAACATATTCTTGTGGAATGCCCTATTATTAATGTTATCAGACAACAATTTTTATCTGGAGAGACATTAAATGAAATAGTTTTAAATGTGAATCCTTCTAAAATTGTAACAGTTTTATCAAAGTTGAACCTAAAAAACAGTTTTAGATTTTTATCTTATATATTATCACTATTATTATTTATGTATTTTTATCTTGTGTATTTATTGTTGTTGATGACTTAATTGTTAGAATATTTGTAAAATTATAGAAAAGTGGTATTTATAAAATGTGGTAAACTTGATTTTTTTTTTTTTTTTGCAACGACCATAGAAGCTGATGTGGCAATAAACTCAAAGTTCTCTCTCTCTCTCTCTTTAATTCCCTTATCATGTACTCATATTGTTTCAAACCCATGTGCTATTGTTTCTTCTAATGCAGTGGGCTCTCCTGTGTTGTGTTTCAGAGTCTCCAGTGACTCCCACTGGGAAAGCAGGTACGACTGATGCTGAGGAGGCCTCCAGACTGCTGGCAGAGAGACGACGCCTGGCCCGAGTCCTGAAGGAGCAGGAAGAGAAACAGCGGCTGGAAGACGAGAGGTAGGCCGATATGTCTGCCGCAGAATCTGCATCATTGCTGAATATGAGCGAACAATCCTGGAAGTATGTCTCTTTTTATATATACATTTGTTTAATTATTATTATTTTTTTTTATTGTTTCTGTTTTGTTAATACTTGTTAACTGAATACTTGCAATTTATCTTCTTCTGACAAAAATATAGTTATAAAAAATAATATTGTGAAAAATATTAACCTTTTGCACATAATATTAACAAATTAACTTTCCTCTGTTTGAGAATAAACAGTTGCAAACGAAGTACAGTTTGTGAGCTGTGTATGTGTATTGGCACCCATTTCAATCTCCTCATCCACCACCGGTGTGCAGCATCCACCTGGATGATGATGGCGACGGCAGCCATTTTGCGCCAGACTGTACACCACACACAAGCTGATTGGTGGAGAAGAGACAGAGATGAAACCAACTGGAATATGGGGATGGTTAGGAGGCCATGATGGACAGAGGCCAGTGGGCAGATTTGGCCAGGATGCCGGGGTTAAATCTCTACTCTTTTCGAAGGACATCCTGGGATTTTTAACGACCACAGAGAGTCGGGACCTCGGTTTAACGTCTCATCCGAAAGATGGCGCTCACTGAGCAGTATAGCGTCCCCGTCACTATACTGGGGCATTAGGATCCACACAGACTGCAGGTTGGGCGCCCCCTGCTGGCCTCTCTAACACCACTTCTGGCAGCAACCTAGCTTTCCCATGTGGTCTCTCATCCAGGTACTGACCGGGGCGCAGCCCTGCTTAGCTTCAGTGGGCGACCATGTGAGAGTTGCAGAGAGCTAGCTGCCAAGAGTCACATACCCAGAGAAGTTAGTTGGATTGAAGTCTCCAATTTAACAATTCACCTACATCTCCACAAACTGTTTAAAATTATCTGACAAAAAGCCTCTAGTTTAATCCAAAAGCAAACTCAAGCATATTATTTTGAGCAAAAGGTTAAATAATAAAGACCTTTTTTCTCAGGCTGCTTTGCTCATATTTTTCCAGCTTCAGTTGGTCATTAGTGAATAGTACTGAATATATTGAACTGTATTGTGTTGTCCGTTGATGCCAGGCTGCGAGTTGAGGAGCTCCAGAGGCAGCAGGAGGAGGAGAGACAGCGCCAGGAGGAGGAGAATCGACTGGCGGAGGAGAAAAGACTGAGGCAGGAGGAGCAGCGCTGTCAGAGAGAGATGGAGGACAGACACCAGAAAGAGCAGCGCTGGAAAGAGCTCCAGGATGACCTGGAAAGACAGGTCAGTACAATTCATTTGACTTTGTTCATTCAATATGATTTATTTGCATTGTTGTTTACTTAAGAATCTGTTAGATTCTTTGCTAAATGTATTCAGAATTATCTTATTTAGACATGATATTAATAAATGTATTGTGTTGACAAAAAATAAGATGTTTAAATATAATAATTAAAAATGTTAATTATATGATTTCTAATAATATATATATATTATATTATATTATATTATATTATATTATATTATATTATATTATATTATATTATATTATATTATATTATTATATAAATATTAAAGTTAACATAATATAGGTTAAAATAATTTTAATTCTAATAAATTAACTGTTAAAATTAAATATTACTTGTTTTTATAATATTACATTATATTTTATTAGACTGTTTTACTTTTTGTAAAAGGTATTAAAAGTGTATCAGATGTTTTTAAGTTACAAAGTTATAATTATATGTACAAATATTTTATACAAGTATTTATACAAGTATTTTTATTAGATTACATTGTTATTATAATCTGAAATTAAATACATTTTAATAAAATTTTTCTGTTTATTTGTACTAAAATGCATTATGTAGGGCAGAATACATACATGTTTTGCATTTGTTTTTAGAAATTGTTGAATCATTATGGAATTAAATAATTAAGAAAAAGCTATTTTTTTAGCAATAGTCTCAATACTTCCTAAAAAAATCAAAGTAGTCATCACATAAATGCATAAAAATCTAAAAAGTGTACACGAAGATAACTTGACTTCTAATAACACACTGAGGATACTCATCCATCCAGTCACTCACTCAAACACGTGCAGCAGCAATCTGTCCTGTGTAGCTGTGAATAACTGTAGGCACTAATGTGATCTTGCTGGAGATGTGATGTGTCATGATGTCTGGCAGAGAGAGGAAGCAGTGCAGCGCGTTCACAAAGAGGCCGAACGCAAGAGACAAGAGCGAGAGCTGCTCAAAATTCAGGAGGAACAGGAGAGACTGCAGAGAAAGAAGGTGCTTTGCTTTCCTCTGTTTCAATTCAGAATCAACCAATGCATGCAATAACCCCATCAAAATGATTAAGCAATGTGCATAAGTGCTTTATAATTGTTTTTGTGTGCTATAAATAAACACTATGCTGTAATTAAGGTTTGGTCCTGAATCCGGTACTTACAGTTTAATTCAAAATAATTAGCCCTCCTTAGAATTTTACTTTCTTTTCAAATATTTCCCAAATGGGCGAAGCAGTGGCGCAGTAGATAGTGCTGTCGCCTCACAGCAAGAAGGTCGCTGGGTTGTTGGTTCGAACCTTGGCTCAGTTGGTGTTTCTGTGTGGAGTTTGCATGTTCTCCCTGCATTCGCGTGGGTTTCCTCCGGGTGCTCCGGTTTCCCCCACAGTCCAAAGACGTGCTATATAATGCAGGTGAATTGGGTAGGCTAAATTGTCCGTAGTGTATGAGTATGTGTGTATGTTACCCAGAGATGGGTTGGGGCTGGAAGGGCATCTGCTGTGTAAAAAACGTGCTGGATAGGTTGACGGTTCATTCCGCTGTGGTGAAAAAGAATGAATGAATGAATATTTCCCAAATGATAATAGAGCAAGGAATTTTTCACAGTTTTTCCGAAAATTGTTTTTTCTATTGGAGAAAATTGAAAAATAAGCCTTTCAATTCAAGCTGGATAATAGTCTGTTGAAAAATATCTAGTAAAATATAATGTTCTGTCATCATGGCAAAAATAAATGAAATCAATTATTAGAAATGAGCTATGAAAACTGTTGTTTAGAAATGGGTTGGGAAAAAATATAATTTCTGTTGAACAGACATTGCGGGGAAATATACAGTGGGAATAATAATTCTAAGTTCAATTATATATAACTGGTATGTGCTTAAGGAAATAGAGAATTGGAATTGGGCTTCTTCAAATGAAAAAATTATTAGGCTTTATTTTAAATCAGTAAACCATGAGTAATATAACTGTAATTTGTTATTTTTTATCCTCCACACACTGTACATGCACAGCTTAGTATTTCTAACTGTACATATGATGTAAAAGCAGCTCACTCATGTGCTTTGAATCGTTGTTGCAATACTTGGTTTGTTTAAAAGACATCAGCGCCGAAACAGGCTGTCGCTAGTTTCACAGCAGGAAAAGATTTTGAAAGGTGGAACAACAACAAAAAAGTGAAGCCAAAATGGCTGCCATCATCTTGTGCTGATGACATCATTTGGAGCCTGAGTCTGTGCTTAAATGATCATGTGCTGTTTCCATGATATCAAAGTCCTGCCCAATCTCCTCACCAATTCATTTGAAAGCTCTAAATGTCACCAGTCAAACAGTTTTTATCATATCACATGACTAGCTAAAAGCAGAATTACTGGCAAACCTAACCCTTGAACATACGTTGTCTAATCTAAATTGATGGAAGCGAAATTTTAGGATAGAAAATAGTATTTAAAGTTTAATTAAAGTGTAATTAAATGTATTTATTTATCGTAATTCGACTCATATCCCATTCATTTACATGGACTTATGACCTATTCTGCAGCCAGCCATCAGGGGGTAGTAAAAAGTGTTTGGCTTCACTTTTCAGAAAGCGTTCAACACACACTGCCCACACCAATGTTCTGTTTATTATGAGCGAGACTACAGTTATTTCGTCTGACACTTTACATTCAAGCTCATTAAAGCAGAATTGATTCTAAATGGCTGTCTTTTAACATTTAAAAAATAAGTAGTGATATTGATATGGTACAGTGATATTGTTACTCTGCATTTTGGACTGCATTATTCTTTTCTATTTAGATTTTTCGACATATTTATTGTTATCAATACAGTTATTGTATTAGCTGTGTTGTGTATTGTAAATAACACGAGTCAGTTGTGATTTCATCTTGACCTTAAGCTGTGTCTGACAGATAATAATAATTCACATATTTAGGCTTAATAGTTTACATTATGTTTTTATGACATGGCATGTGAGTTCAGTAAAATAATGTTCGCATCGTGTTTGCGTTTTGACAGCGTATCGAGGAGATTATGAAAAGGACACGAAAACCAGATGGAGAAAAGGTAAATGAATTCTCCACAGGCTAATTAAATGATCAAATGACAAAGATGTACTGACAGTGGCAAATAATATCGCATATCATGTGTTTGGACAGAAAGAAGAGGCGCAGATGGAAGTCCCATCCCCCATTTCTGTCTCTCAGTCCATCTCACCGTCTCCCTTGGAAACTGAGGGTACTCATTATACTGCAATAAAATGATCACTTTCTTATCTTTTTTCTATTCTTTTATATCTTATTTTATTTCTAATCATTATCATTTTCTAATGCAGTGTTTCCCAACCATGTTCCTAGAGGACCACCAGCACTGCATATTTTGGATGTCTGCTTTGTCTGTCACACCCATTACAGGTCTTGCATGCTTTGCTACTGAGCTGATGATCTGAATCAGGTGTGTTTAATTAAGGAGACATGGAATACGTGCAGTGCTGGTGGTCCTCCATGACCGTGGTTTAGAAACACTGCTCTAATGAATTTTTTATACAAAATTTCATATTTAAAAGATTCTCTGGTTCTCTGTCTCAAATTTTAATCTTTTTTTTTTTTTTTTACCAAAAACAGTTTAGTTTTTTAATTCTATGTTTATTCTAGATTTTATATATTCCCCATTTTATATTCTGTCTTTTTATTTCAAACAAGTTCTTTTAGCAACATTGTTTTATCTATTCTCTATTGTTTTTTTTTACATATATTTATTTAAAACCACCAATCTTCCAACACTAAGTATTTCTTATCTATTTTTCCTTATCTATTTCTCCCTTTAAAAAAGTGACATATAAAATATGCAGTAAACCTGTCTCATTTTCTCTCTCAACAATTTATAAATACAGTATGTTCATTATAATATCCTTATTTTTGTTCTTTAGTTGCTTTGATTGCTTCTGTTCTTTTTCTGAACTCACTTTGGATAAAAGCATGAGCCTGATGTTTTAATGTAAATGTAGAACACTATAGCCTACAGTTCTGCAGTTGGCAGGTAGAAACACTTAACCTTCCTTTTCACTTTGTAAAGCCATCAGTTCTTGTAATTCACTTAAACATGCACTCAGTTTATTTCTTGTTGCTGTGTGACTCAGCATGTGGAAGATCTAAATTGTTTATACTGTAGAAATAGTGAAAGAGCGCCATCAAGTGGTGTTGTTAAGATCTAAGAAAGGGTTTTCACAAAAACTAGAAATGCTGATCATCTAGGAAATGAGTTATTTAGTTATTTAGTTTTGATTTACTCTCGCACTACAGGGATCAGAGTGATTAACAGTCCACCAAAAACAGCATCTGAATCTCCAGTCATATGCCTTGAGCCTCTGGAGGCAAAAAGCAGTTTGGCGGATGATCTATCTGATGGGGTTCAGTCTATGGACGTCAGGTTAGCCTCCATCATAATCATGCTATATGAAAATCGAAGCTTGATTAAATAAAGGCCACTTTTGATTTCTCAATTCTGATGTTCCCCCTTAGAAATATAAGTGTCTTTTAATTGTGACTTTATTTTTTTATTATTAATATTGACACTTCCCAGTTCATATATTGTTTCACAATTTGTTCCTCTTAAGTCTGAGTTTATTTTTCACATTTCCGACTTTTTTTCCCCTAGAAATATGAGGTTATGTCTTGTAATTTTGACTTTCTTAAAATTGGCATTTCCCAATTCATATATTGTCTCACAATTCTGACTTTTTCTTGCAATTTTGAGATTAAATCTGGCAATTTTCAGTTTATCTTACAGTTCTGAGATCACAGTTTTGACTTTGCGGTTCGTAAAATTCGGAATGTATGTGTTTCAGCACTGACTATTGCTCACAATTGTGATTTTATACAGTAAATTTTGCAGTCATGAATTTACTTATTTTTACTTTCAAATTTTCTATATGTCTTGCATTTGTGGCTTTTTCCTAACAGGTTCAACTTCAAATCTTATCAGTTCTGAATTTTTATGCCAGTTTTGAGATTAAATTTCACAGTTCTATGAGGGAAGATGTCTCAATGGCAACACTATTAAATATGATTTTGTAATTTTTATTAAAAATGTAAACCTTTTTGAGAATTCAGAGTTTACATCTTATAAACTGACTTTTTTCATGCAGTTTGGCCTTTTATACAGTTTGGAATCTATTTTTAGTTAGTTAATATCTTGCATTTAATATTTTATAATTGTAATACTTTGCAATTTTGGGCTTATCTTGCAATTTAAAATTTTATTTTAATTTTGAGTTCATATCTCGCAATTCTATTATCTGTTTCATTTCTAAGTTCCTATTTTACAACTGAAACTATTTCTTGTATTTATGAGATTATGTCTCACAGTTCTGACTTTTTTTCTCAGAATTCCACACAAAGTTACATCTCTGTGGGAAAAAAACAAGTCATTGTTAGGAAAAAAGTGCTTTTTTTAAGTCTGTGTCGCAAAACAAGCAACATGAATTACTGCATACTTACAAAATGAATACAGCTTTGTCCCTGTAATGAAGCAGGATGCTTTTTCTTGCAGCCCAGTGTCCAGAGATGAGCTTGTTCCAGAGTTTTCCCCCATCAGCGAAATCTCACAGAACAGCATGAGTTCTGCTTTGGGCGATATCCTCGTTCTGACCAGGCAGGTCTCACATCCCAAAGTGTCCGCTGCTCCAGCGTTTGGTGACTGCAACAAGAATCTGATCCAGGATTGCAGTAGCGCCGCTATTGACTCATCACTTTTCCAGAGTCTTAGACCAGCCTCAGACAAGCTCAACATATAATGTAAAGGTGAAAGAAAATTTTTTTCAGCTATTACTCCAAGTTTGACAAGTTTTTTTTTACAGAATGAAATGAGTAAAACAGAATCAAATTCAGCATAAAATCAGGAAAATCTATTAAAATCCTCTATAAAAACCTTTAAGATTTATATGAGGATAATAACCAGAGATGCCCAAAGTAGGGTTTGCGGGCCAAAGTTAAAGTATAAATTAGGAAATTACCCATGGTAACTTTAATGTAAAATAGTTGGTATATTTACCTTTGGCCCACAGCTCTCAATAATATTTGGTTTTTGGCCCTTCATACGAAAAAGGTTGGGCACCCCTGATTATAATGTGAAATTTAATTCATGTAAGTGTTACTGAACTCTAGATAAAAATTGCTTATTTTGAGAAAATGGTCTTAAGACAAGTGAATTCTCATTAAAATCTGTCACCGTTTACTTGTTTCAAACCAGTTTGAGTTTGTTTTATTGAAGACAAAAGAAGACATACCGGAGAATGGTGGAAACTGGTTACCATTGATTTTCATAGTATTTGTTCCTACTAAGGAAGTTAGGGCTACATGGTGGCTTAGTGGCAAGCACTGTCACCTCACAGTTGGCCTTTCTTTGTGGAGTTATATATTCTCCCCGTATTCCCGTGGGTTTCCTCCGGGTGCTCCGGTTTTCCCCCACAGTCCAAAAACATGGTACAAGTAAATTGAATAAACTAAATTGGCCGTAGTGTATATGTGTGAATGATTGTGTATGGATGTTTCACATTACTGGGTTGCAGCTGAAAGAAAAACATGTGCTGATTAAGTTGGCGGTTCATTCTGCTATGGCAACCCCTGATAAATAAAGGGACTAAGCCAAAAAGAAAAGGAATGAATGAATGAATGAATGAATGAATGAATGAATGAATGAATGAATGAATGAATGAAGTCAGTGGTTACCAGTTTCCATCATTCTTCGGTATGTCTTCTTTTATTCCTTTTATGTTCTTTTAACTGAACAAAACAACTTGGACTAGTTTGCAACAAGTCAAGGGTGAATTATTAATTAAACTGATAAAATACAAAAAAGTGCTTTCTGGATGTTTTCTTTTCAGTAGTTCTACTAGTCTGAAACACATTTTAAACTGCACACAAATTTTTAAAACTGACAAATGTCTTGCCTCAAAGGTTTAGTTCATTCATAAATTAAATTTTCTGTAAATCTAATCTAGCCTCTAGACTCTAGACCATCCAAGATGTAGATGACTTTTTCAAAACAATAAAATAAAATAAAAATGTATAGTGCTCAGCATATATAAGTACTCCCTTTACACATATACAATAATATACAATGTTATATTTGGCATTTACATTAGATTAGTGAGTACTGAAACCAAATTTGAAGCTTATCTTACAAAATAACTTACGATTAAGGGTCCAAAAACTAGTACACCCAAATATGTATATATGTTATAAAAAAATATTAAATACAAATTTAAAAAAGAGGACAAATCAAGAGAAGCAGAAAAATTTAAAATTGAGTTGAAATTTTGTAGGTTGTATTTTATTTTTGCAATATTTAGCTTGAATTTAATTGTATTATCTTTTGACTTCTAAATATGTTTGGTGACTAAACGATAATTTTAATAAATATATCTGTTTGATAAATGTGTTTTGTTTAAATGCACCAAAATACACTACCTATATTCACTGAGTAATGGATACAAATATTCATTTTCAAAATGGGGTGTACTTATATATGCTGAGCACTGTATCTGAAGCCATTATACTTGGGTCATAAATTGCAAGAAAATGGCTGCTTATTCTTTGAAAGTCCAAAATATATGAAGAATGTTACTTTGAGGATATGTTTTGCTTCATAAAACCTCAATGTGTCCCCAGAATCCATGGGTACTTAGTTTACTCTTATATTTCACCACTGCTATTTAACAAATCTGAAACAAAAATAATTGCCTTGTCAAGTCAATCTTTTTTTAAATATACTTTTGTTTTTAAACAACAAATGTTATTTTTTCCATTGAATGCAAGTATGTGGAGGAAAGTTATGTTTGAAGGCTATTTTCCACACTTATGATTGCTTATAAAAGTATGAAAATGTATTGGGAATTTGAAGTCACAAAAATAGTGAAAAATGTAATCCGCCACAAAGTAGCCATTGTCTTTCATGTTATACTCACAGAAATCTGCTTTGATATTCTACTGAAGAAAAAAATCACTTGGATCAATCTATCCTTACAACCATCTCATGTTTGTTGTCTTTTCCTTGTTTTAGACATCACTGAAGCATGGGGCTGGACTAAACTGATGCTGTCTGTGCTCCAGCATCTCCATGAGAGCCTCCTCCTCTGAACCAGAGAACAAGGACTGAATGTCAAACCATGTGTTAATAGCAAACGAGGGACACCCTGAAGGCTGAATCCCCACTCAAAATAAACGTTTTGCCTGCTCCTCTAGATATTATATTTCACACCGTTTCACCATAGTCTCACCAGACAACGCAACTGTATTAGCGCCGTCCTAGTGGTCTTATTCCTGTTATACACCTGTAGCATTGATGAGTAACACACGTGACAATTGTAGCAGCTCCATTGTGTAATTTGTTTTATTTTGGGTTGCAAAAACGACCAGCAAATCCGAGCTGAGTCCTGCTAATTGTGCTGTAGTGTATGGCCGGGGTTTGCAAACAGTATATCGTGTAAATCCAATGACTTCTCTGCGTCTTCTCAGCAATCCGAGCTTTGTAGTCTAAAAGTGGATATATGAATAGATGTAAAGTGTGATATTATTCCACCATAAACACTGGCATTAATGTATTATTAGTCAACGGTGGTTAGAAGTTATAGCAGAGGGGGTGGGGGTGGGCCGTTAACAGAATAAAGTGTACTTCTAATGTAATTTATTGTGTAAAAGTTTAAAAAAGGAATTAAAGGTGCACAAGTCGGTTGTGTTCAATAGCATAGTGCTTTTAACTCTTCATAGACTTCTGTATTGTTTTGTCGAAATGACATCATTGCACACAGCTCTATGCAGAACCATACACGGCAACACAAATCAAGGTAATTCAGCATTTGGTGACAAGAGAAGGAGTTGTACTTGCTGAGTATGTTGCCTATAAATACTCTGTTTACCATCTTGTACACTCAGGGTAAAAGTGAGCTTTGCATGTGAGCTCATTTGTGATGTTTGGTCATGTATGATGCTGTTGTGCACTGGACTGCTTCAGGACCAATAAGAAACAGATTTATTGAAGGATGTAAGTTTGTATCTGTCTTCTATCTATCTATCTATCTATCTATCTATCTATCTATCTATCTATCTATCTATCTATCTATCTATCTATCTATCTATCTATCTATCTATCTATCTATCTATATTTCTGTCTATCTATATTTCTGTCTATCTATATTTCTGTCTATTTAGAAACGTGGGAAGTTGATTACATTTTTGATTTTACAGGAAGTGATGGGAAATTCAGCACTTCAAAATGACATTTGAGAAAAGGTGCATGAATCAGCTGCTTTGAAGTTGCCGAATACTGACATAACAATAAAGTATGTATCACACTATGAGATATCTTTATTCACAATACATATAGCTTTAGTGTATTTACTTATTGACCTTAATTTTCACATATGTGCAGCCTTTGGAACCTTATTGGCTCGAATATTGGCTAAAAGTTGAAGATTTTTAGCTGTATGCTAACAGCTCACTATGCTACTTTTATATAGTCATAAACACATTTGTTTGCTGAGCAAGTAGCTTGACTGTACACTTATTTAGTTTGTTATTGCTGGTAATTTTCCCTAAAGGTGAATAAATTGGAAGTCCTAAAACAATCAGCGAAAAGAGCTTGCTTCCGCGTTGCTAAAAAAGGTGAATAGAAGTTGGAAAAATCGGTAACACTTTACAATAACAGTACTTAAATAATGATGTGTTCATTTGTAAACTAATTTTTACTTTATTTCATCATTTGTTCATATTTTAATTATGAACAAATGATGAGTTAATGCATGCGCTAATCATGAACTGACTTACAACATAAGTCACATGTATGAATAACAGCTACCTCAATTACTTGTTAGTACATGATTGTTTGTTAATTAATGTATTAATTACCACATTAGTTTATGCTTACTTTAACCATCATGAACTCATATGTTAATATATTATGTCATGACTTTACTTGGAGGGGCACATCACCATTTTAAACTACTCATGCACTTATGCATGTCCAACTAATGCATTTACACTGAATGAAAATAGAAAAGTGTTCTGTCAACATCAACACGAACAGTTTTAGGACAGGAGTTCATGAGTAGTTAAGGAGGATTTAATGATGTGTGCTCCTCCAAGTAAAGTGACGAAATAATTATACATCAACAGCTCATGAGTTCATGTTGGTTACATTTAGCTTAAACGCAAATGTTAATTAAACTAATTAACAACATGTACTAACAAGTAATTATGGCACTAATGTGACTCATGTTGTAGTTAAAGTTAGTTTATGATTAGCGTGCGCCTTAACTCTTCATTAATTCACAATAAAATAATGTTTCATTATTCATGTACTGTTAAAGTGTTACCCAAAAGTCCATTAAAACATTCATGAAACACGTTTACTTCTAGCAGGATATGCTAACACAATTGAGAGCATAATGAGGGGGATAAAACAGCATCATATAGCCTCAACAAGTTTAAACCAAGCATATAGGGAACAAAGGTGGATAAGTTACTTTGAATTTCAGAAACTGTTGATCTGATGGGATTTTAATCTCAACCATATCTAGTCTTTAGAGCATGGTAGAATAATATTAGAGAAAAAATTGCATGCTGGTTTGAGCTAAAAGAGAGACTACAGAAACTCTTTTAAATGTAAACGCACCAACATATACACAGAAAACAAAATCTATGATTGTACAAAAATGTGCCTGGTCTGGTGATGAGTCTCAATTTCTGCTGCTACATTTAATGGTATGGCCTAAAATTGAGCTAAAACAACATGAAAGCATGGTTTCAAAGTGCCTTGAATTAACTACAGTCTGTTACTGGTGGTGTGGAATATTTTCTTGGCTCACTGTACTAAACTATTTGAGATGTAAGAGCTGGGGCCTGTACCATCAAGCTGGATAGCCAGTTAAGTTTCAGTTTAGTTTGCAGCGATCTTGGGTGTAGGTATCATGAAAGCAGCGTGTCTTTAATCAGTTTTTTGTTGCCATGGTGTTATGGAGCAGCTGAGCCGCCTGCATGGTACCTAAAACCCAGAACAAAACAGAAACTAAACTGACTAGCCAGCTTATCTAGCTTCATGATACAGCCCTCTGATCTGATTTAGAGGACAATACTTTTGAAAATAAAGTTCTTTATTGTTATCGATGGTTCCGTGAGGAATATTTACCACTTGTACATCAAATTTTTAAAAAAATGTGACCCATAAGGGCATATAAGAAAAAATGTCTGTGTTCGAAAACCAACATTTGGTTGGTCACAATTCACGGTATTAACAAAGCATTAAGTAACACCACTAGCTTAACAAACTACTAAAATTATCTGTTATAAGGTGGAGGTTGGGTTTGGGAAGGATTTCCCTGCTGAAAAATCCAGCTTAAACCAGCCTAGGCTGGTTTAAGCTGGATTTTTCAGCAGGGTTGGGATGCAAAATAAGATCATACTTTTTAAATAGTAAGGAACAATCATGTCTTAGATAATAAGCTAGTTAATACCTTGAATTGTGACCTAATCTAAAGTTTTAAACTAAAATTAAAGTTTTTTTTTTGTCATCAGATCTAATAACTTAAAAAAAAATACTTTTAAGGATTTTAACCATTTCAATTATTTTATTTAAAAACTACATAAACTAAAGACTAAGCTGTCTTTCCTTATAATAATAAAAATATACATATATTTTAAGATGTTTTTAATGGATTGCGTCTTTAGGGGCCAGTGGCTCGCGCAGGCGCTCTCGAGTGCTGCTGGTGAAAACGAGGCTTTCACTCATTCACTTCCGGCTCAATCTTGTGTATGCATCGCTAGGGCAAGTTGGTCGTGTGGTTATATTCATCTGTCAACAATCCATCCATATTTGATCCGTCGTATTGACTATGGCAACATCTCAATCTGTTATTTAATTAAATGTTCCATAGTCCGTTGTTTTCTATCGCGAGAAACTGGTATTTTGGTGGACGCATCGTCTAGCAGTTTGTGGAAGCCATCGCGCGGGGTATGTAAGGCTAATGCTAATCGATATAACATTCAAACTGTTGTTTTATACTTGATATTGTGGTTGTTTGTATGCGTTTCTCTATTCTTTAACATTTTTATTCTATTCTGGGATTGCTTAAAGTTTCTCATCCTTATTGATCGTGTTATTGCTCGGGCCTTTTAAATTTCCGAACCCTCCATAATTCTAAGAAATGTCGAGAACGCGCAGCACAATTATTAACTTAAGCTAATCTAGCACAGCGAGTTACAGTGCCATTTGGAGTGTTTTAACTGTTAATGTTATTATACATGCGCTGTGTTTTGATATTGTCTTTGTGGTTTTGTCAGATTTCGGAAAGATGTTAAACTAACGTTACTTTAGTTCAGCCCTTAATACGCTAACGGTAACGTTAGTTGTGGTAATTATTTATGTATTATTATTTCTCTTGAGTGTTATCTATTTTAACATGATATAAAATAAGTGCGTTTTTAATATCAACAGTATTTCCTGCACCGCTGTTTTTCAGGCCTAAAATTATTGTTCCAATATGCGACCAAAATCTTTCGACAATGCTTGCAAAAAAAGGCATTTTAATGATAACTCGTGACTAGGGCCAGACGGAATCTGCGGGCATTTTTTGCTGTTTCTGCGCAGAATTGTGTTAAAATAATTTTGGGAGTATCATAACTAAAACCTCAATATATATGAAATAAAAAGTAATACATTTTTAACAGTTATTTATTGTTTACAATGCAAATCCAATAAGATCCACTTTATTTGGTAACAAAGCAAGTCTCTCATATAATATTCTACAAAAAGTCAGAAAATATTACTTTACAAACTTTATTGTAAATAAATCATAAATATTTTCATATTAGTCAATAATATTACTGTAATTAGTTTAAAAACAATACATTTACACAAGTTAAAAACAGAATCAATGATGGGTTAAAAATCTGCGGAATTCTGCGTGTGCAGATTCCATGTGGGCCTACTCATGACCAAGATGATTACTCAAACCTTTCTCGAACAAGGCGCTATTAAATTAGGCGATAGCACTACCTTTGGCACACTGAGTGCTTTGTTATTGTATTACAATTATAATACCATTAAATTTAGCTTAAATATCTATGTCTTAATTTTAAAAAATGCATATCAATATTTCAATATACAAGTCTTTTTCATCATATTAATAATGAATGACTAGACAATAATAGAAAATCATAGTTTCATTACAGAGAATGCGTGCAAACAACACAATTTTAAAGTTTTAATTATTTCCATGGTGTGATGTATTGTAATATTTCTTATATTGTGTTTGTCTTTAATTAATTCATGCCAAATGTCTGCTGCTAGAGTGTTACACAATGTTATTTCTTATGTTATTTATTGTAAGTTATTAATTTAAAACAGAATGTCCGTTTTTGGATGGCAAGGCAGGGTTCAAATAACCTTTTTGCTTTGTAGCGCTTGTGCTCATAACATAAATTTAGTCTCACCAACCAAGATGTTATCACACTCAACATTTTTGAGCACTGTTACAAGTTTATATTAACAAATTAGTTGCATTTGAATGATGAAGGACTGAATAATTAAATGAAGAATTAAATGAAATCTCTCACACTTTAATTGTGTTAATGTGGCAAATGCTGTTACCTGCAAACTCCGTCCCACAGACTTTACAGTGAATGCTTTAGACATTTTTAAACTTTAACCCATGCAATTCTTTTTTACACTCTTTGAAATGTGTAAATAGTGAATAAACACTCACCACATGATCACTAATCAGATGTATCGTCATTTGTAACTTTAGATGGTTTCTAAATCAAAATCTGTCAGTGTAGTTTTTATACTCTCATTTTTATTGCTTTACATTTTTGCGGTTGTAGCTCCCTGACATCTAAAGGCAGAAGGCATTGACCGAGTGATTGACAGTTGATATTTACCAATCAATTCACGTTCTAGCGCAACATTACAGACTTTGTTGACTACTGCAAGTTGACATGACAACTGTTCAGGTGCAAAGATGCATTCCGTGTGAATGTTTCCTAAATCCCAGCATGCGGTGATCATTTTCCAATGAAAACGCACGGCAACAATTTCATGCACTCGCACAAATGTATGCACAATATGCGACCAAAACGGTTGCAATTTCGAGCCCTGCAAAGGAATTGGCAATTGGTTTAGACTGCTGTTTTCTGACCATTATTTTTGTTAAAAAAAAAAACATGGCGAGACATTATAGTAGATTTTTATGTTTGAGGCCTAGTATAAATCTGGTTTCTTGTTTTTCAAGGAGACAATGTCACGTCCGCGTTCAAGATCTCCGTTATATTCAAGGTATTGAATTTAAATTAGATGTTTTGAGTGGGTGTTACACTTAAACATTATTTTGTTGTTGCGTTGCTGGTTATTAACTGCTTCTTGAACCTCTCGAATATCAACAGAATCCCAACCCTTCAGGGAAGAAGAGCGGAGGGATTATTTGGTAACCAGATGCGTTCATCAGTACAATCTGACACGTGGAGGAACCCTGAATATGTCAAAGTAGAAACTAACCCCCACTGGAAAGATTCCCAACAAGGAGAGCAAAATGTCGACCACTGGGCCAAATTTATCGATGCAATAGAGCATGCTCAACAAAGAGGGCCTTCGCCTATGGCCAGATATCCGATGCAGGCTGATGAAGATAGGCCATCCGATTCTCCGAGAAGGCTTCCCAGGGAGAGGTTACCTTCCCCTGAACACACACATTATGGTGTGGAAGAGCATTATAGGATGGCATCGCCAGGATGGAACAGAAATGAAGCTTTTGATAAGGACACCAATTTACAGCACAGCCAAAGAGAGATGCGGGATAGGTCTTATCCAAGACATCAAGAGAGAAGAAGTCATGACAGGATGGATTATGAGTATCGTAATGAAGAACATGGCGATCAATATCATGAAAGAGGCTCCTATTCAGAGAGGTACAACAACGAAATTCTTTCCTTGCTTCATACCTCTGACGTGGAAGGAAAGGATCGACAAAAGGAAGAAAAGAGCTCATCACATTCTCCATCTCTTTTTGTGATGGATATAATTGGATCTGTTAGATTTTATGGCACAAATTTTACAGTTTTATTAAGTCTAATCTTTAATTTTAGTTTTATTTTGTTCTTTGAGATTTGATTTCTGTCATTGTACCAACTTAAAATGTATAGATCCAGTTAAATATACCATTCACAAAAACCTTGGTTTTGTAGTTGATCTAATTTCATTCAGTCCTGTAGATTCAACTTGTTAGGTATTGCTGTAATTTCATTCTAATCTCGGATAAATGTTACTTGCTTTCTTGATACAGGTCATCAAAGCCTGATTATAGGGAGCACCACCCTTCTAAAGGATTTGCAGAGTCGGGTCTCCAAAATGAGTTTGCTGATCATCACCGGGGCTTCAGCCCACGCCGTGCTCCTCTTATCGTGGAACACGATCATGGAATCGTAAAACAAGATTTGAGGTATCGCGAGCCCCCGAAGATGGGTGGCCAATCTAGGGCCAGAGATCCACCCAGGCCAAGTGAATCCCAGAGGAACCGGGAACCTTACAGAGATAGAAGAGACCAAGGTCATCATTCACGTACCCTACAAGAGAGACCAGGTGGACGGCCGAATGGGAATCCCAGAGAGGAAGGAAGAAAGAACTACTCGTCTTATGAAAGAGAAAGCCAAGGGAGAGAACGATCAAGACACATTGATCAATCTAGGATGGAGTCACACTCTAGAGACTTGGAAGGACGGCAGGAAATGAATTTGAGGGTTACGAGTGACACCGATTTGAGGAACTGGGAAAGAGACTCTGTCCATGAATGGGAGGAAGAGAGACCACAAAAGAATCCGGGTAGGATGATGGAACAAGAGGAAGTTCGCCCAAGAGATCAGTATAACAGGAATGCAAAGACCAATGTTGGTCCTCCATCTCGAACGGATTTCAGTGAACATGAGACCCTCAAGATCAAGGTGGACATGAGTCGCCCCGTCACGCAAGCCAGGTATAGTATCATTGTTGTTCCAGTTTTGGTTAAGGTTAAAAGTTCATGCCTCCTTTCCTGTCCACTGTCCCCACACCATGGATATTTGAAGAAGAACACTGTGTGTAACACAGCTGCATAACACTACAGATTGTGAACAAAAAGATTTAATGAAATACCAGACTCGCATCTAAAACACAACACCGATCATCTACATGGGTAATGAAGACCGTACAAAGCTAAGGTTGAAGATGGACAGATTCTGCATCAGTATGTTTAATAACCTTCATTTGAGTTTTTTTCATGACGTTCTTCTGAAGAATTTTACCACGGGAAGGATTTGCTGTGTTCTGTGGAAACTTGGATGTCTGTCTTCACTGACTTGAAGTTCCATTTGCTCAAACCAAGGACTGATGGGTTAAATCAAAGACTGACCTGATATTTTTTTTACATTTAAGGCTTATGCTTTTGCAAGGGTCTAGATCAACAGTCCTTCAAATATCAGGAACATTGATGACCTCAAGGGTTTGGCATGGCTGCCAATATTGGAACAAGAGGTAAAGCATACCAGAGGTTACTCTACATGCCATCGTTCACAAGAGAAGAATTGGAGAAGGTTTGTGAAGACACTGCAAATGCAAAATAAGTAGATGGTGCAAGAAATGCTGTGCTAACATGACAGACCTTGTCGTTGTGGGGTGCTTTACGTGTGGAATTTTGTCCTCTGGAGAGTTTGATGGGATTAGACTTTCAGTTAACTCACATGACTGAAGTACCATTTTGGGTTGAAAGCCAGCAAGAGAAATGTAATTCTGGTTTAATTCCTCCATATCTGCAGCTCATCAAATGTCTGACTGGAATTGCATGGGTTAATCAATGGGCAACTGTGAAGTGATCCACTTACATTGCTTGATGATGTTCTCCACCATTTCACCAAGGCTTAACAGAAACCAACTCTTTTACATCCACACTTTGACTCTACAAGATGGTGTCTCCACCAAAATACCAGTTCCGCAACAGCGTCTGAGCTTTTCAACTTTCAGAGCTGTTTTGACTGAAGGTAAGTCAGCAACTATCCAATTGAAGTCGAGTAGGTATGGACGAATTTTCCTGATGTCTACATTATCTGCTGTGGAAGGAGAAAGTGAGGAACAAGTGTGGCCTTTATTAAAAGAAGCTAGACCTGAAGAGAACAATTGAAATCTGGTACTGGAGCAAAACAAAAAATTGCACCACACCAAGATTATCCAAGGGTGTATTCGACTCTCCCAGTTGACAAACTGCTTCAGTGTCTTCTCACTTACCATGAGGAAGAACTACATATACAAACAAATCTGAAACAGATGCACATCTCTGATTTAAATCATGAACCTGTGTTTGTGGATCATCCTCCATTGAATACTGGAGTGAGTACATTAAATGAATGCTTGAACACAGATGAACAATATCCACCATTGTGACATTTCTATTTTGATGACCCTGTTGCTGCCAGTTTTCAGAAGAGGTGCAAGCTAAATGTTCTACTCAAATGGACTTTGCTAGAGGAATAACATGAAGGTTTGTCTTCATCTGTTTTTCAAGAACTTCTTCAGACTTCACAAGGCAATATTATGGCAATGAAGGAAATGAAATTAAAAGTGGCACCTGTAAATTCCACTATAATCAGACTTTAAACCAACTGCTGGTCGACATTTGATTCTTCAAGATTAATTTTGTGTTTCTTACCAATCAAACCAAACATTGGCTTTACAAGTGCCATGCTTTACCAGATGAGCAACAGGGACTCCTGCATTTTGTTTTTATTTGTGGACTCTAGAAAACCATCACGTGACATTAATAAGTCATGAAAACTCCGTAAACATGGCTGCCATGAGAAGACATGTCTTTGAAGGTATTTTACAGCGATTTGCAAGACTCAACATAAAGGATTTACAAGGCAAGATTATGACAATGGAGGAAATGAAGAAGTTAAAGAGGCACCTGTAAATTCCACTATAAGAAAACTTCAAACCAACTGCTGGTCGACATTTGATTCTTCAAGATTCATCCGTGAGATTCATCATAAAAATTTTCATTCCGCACATTTGGCAAGAAAACGTCACAGCTGACCTTGAAGAACGTATAATTTTATTCAGCAAGGAAGATTGAACTTTGAATGTCTGCATTCAACTAAAATTCTTCAGAACTGCAGATCTACACTTGATTTCATCATTATTCTGTTTCCTGAGGTTCAGTTCATCCAATTCCTACCTCATACAATCAAGTTTTTGCTCTTCAAGTAAGCACACCTTAGGTTGAGATGTGTTGACTGATCTCCTTCGGATCACTATAAATGTTCATAATCTTGTCAAAAGGACCAGATGGACCCATATGGACCCTTCACCTATAGATCATCTGATGAACGGAAGTGTTTAATGACAGGGAGAGGCATGAACTTCAACCTTCCATATTTATTATCCAACATCAACCTTTTATGTAATATTATACCAACCAAATTTTTCAGCATTATTTGGAGCATACTCATCAAATTCAATGACAAATCTGAATGCTGTAAACTGCAGTCTTTAGACCAAAATGTTTGTCCTAAATTTTTATTTTAGGTGACCATGATTAAATTTTTCTGAAAAATTAAGTATTAGTTGCTCTTGAAGCGATATCTTAGTTTAAAATAAGAAGTGCTGGCAAATTTGTAGTTAAAAGGAAGTATATGAAAAGTTAAGGGACAACTGTCATATGTTAAAATGGGAATTGCGATGTCGATAAGAAAGAAGTGCTGCTTTTTACGGCTGATTTCATTCCAACAGGAGTACTACACTATCCTCACTTGGTTTATGTTTATTTCTTGTAAGTAATGATTCTTATATCTCTACACATACATGTTACCTCTTCTCCAGTTATTTAGGATATTCATCAGATAGGCAGTTATCACTGGACTTAGTCAATGTGGGTCGACAGCGTCTTGATTTCCTGCCCATGCTGGAGCATTCTGGCACTTACAAGGAATCAGCAGTACATTGTGGGACGTTTGCCCAAGAAATCATCACACTTGTACATCAGGTTAAAGGTGAGAAGAAAATGGATTAGCCTTGTAGTGTATTCTGGAGTTTGTGACATTTGATTAACTATTTGCTTTCTTGTTTTGCAGAAAATTATTTTAGTGGCCAAGACATCCCACTCAATGAACGCTTTGCAAATGAACAGTATTATTCAATCCCTGATGAGATTAAAGAAGAAGAAGAATATGAAGATGAGCTGGAAATGGAAAACTTGAGAGCACTCATGAATAGGCATGCATGCTAATTATTTTAACAATTTCATCAGCCCTAATCCTTTGAAGTTCTTCATGTTGTTTGTGGTGCAAACTGAAATTTTGATTCTTTCATATTAGGCCACAAAGAATGCCCTCTTCAGGAGCTCTGGATCCAGTGAGTTTGATTTTTTTTTTTTTCCAGCTCTGTCACTTTCAAAAAGAGCATTTATGTATGTTTGACTAAAATCTTTATGCTTTTGCTAGCTTCAGAGACAACAGCCAGTCCCTGACCCTGGTGACCTCAGGTATGACTTGGAGCGAAGACGACAGCAGAAACTGGAGGCTGTGAAGATCACCATTGCTGGCGCAAACTTTACTCAGATGCCTTCTGAGAGGTATGGGCTAAAAATTGTTTCAGCTGGCTTTTTCCATGTGAATATGAATTTCCATGTAGTTCCCTTTGTATTCCAGTGATTTAACAGTTTGTAACGAGACCTTGACATACTAAAGGCTGATTTATACTTCTGTGTCAAGTGCACGTGTTCGCTTAGCCCTCGTCGTGGCCGACGCTGATTTGAACCTCAAATTTTTTAGCTTAATTTTTTGTTTGATAGTGGTGACTAGTGTGGGCGGTACTGAGAGCCACAAGCCCAAGAGTGAGTAGCCGCGTTTCCACTATCGAGCCTGAAGCAAGCGAGCTAGTCGCTTTTTACTGTTTTTACTTTTTACTGTCACTTCCGGGGCCTAATCGGGCCAAAGCGGGGCTTTCTAGGGGCCAGCAGCCGGCCTTTTTCGGCCCGCCAAATACCTTGGGCCAAAGAGGGCCAGCTGGGGAGTGAAAGGAGAGGTGGACAATAGTTTTCCTATCTCACATGAGTACATGCGCCAAACAAATAAATAAAAAAGGAAAAAGAAACATCTAGCCTTGTAGGCTGGGGTCTTTTTGCTTATCACCCTTATGTTTCCCTTTTAAATGTAAGGCTGTTGCATAAAATAAAGTTTTATTTATAAGTGACTTGCTGCGTTCTCCTTGATGTTTCAATAACGCATAAAAATCTTTACACCATTTTTAAGACACAGCGGACAGTAAAGGTTGTTGAGAATTTTTGTCAAGTTTAAAAGGTGTGTTTGTGCGCATTTAGATGCCTGTATGTGTGTGTGAGACCCAGCAAAAGAGCGCTCCCTTCACAGCTCTGTAGATGCTGCAAGCGGCTTCTTTCTTTTGTTATTTATTTTGGAAATAATACACAATATGAATACAACAGAAAGACAGAAAGCTTAACAAATTACGTCTCCACTTTTGTAGACTTAAAACAATCGTGCCATGTCTTGATAAAGTAGCCTAAGCCATATTGAAATATAATTAAATGAATTACAAATATTGCAATTAATTAAATAAACCAATATAAATAAAACAAAAGCTAGCTAGAACAATGTAGGTATATAGGTATATATACAATACATAAATCAAACTGTTTTAAAGCCAAATTAAACTTTTACTGCCCGAACCCGGCGAGACCCGAAAAAATCCAAATCCCTGCATTAAAATTCATCCCTGCAAAGGTGAAACAAATGATGATGAAGTAGTAAAAAAAAGCTAATTATTACGGCGGTCAAGCCAGTCACTAGCTCAGAAAGAGCGCATTCCAGCCGCAGGTATTTCGCGGTCGCTCATACACTGCGTATTACGGTAGAGCCCTAAACCGCAAGCTGACAGGTAAAAAGACAAGGCCTCTCGCTACAATGAAACTACAGTCATGGAAAATTAAATGGATGTTCCTGACTGGTAGAAGATGAACAAACAATCCAATCCAAAACTTGCAAAATCAGCCAGATCAGAACTCTGCATCTCGGCCTGTAGCCGCAGGAAAGGGTGTTCAGCTGCTGGACCCGTGAGCGCAGGACTGCGCTAAAGCCTGTGGATTTAATAATGTTCCTCCACAAACACACGTAGCCTAATCTTGGTGAGTAAAGGGTTTTTCAATTATAAATAAATATTAATTAAACCATATAATCATAATGTAGACAGAGTATACAGGCTAATGGTGGCATTATTCTTTTAATATTCAGCTTCACCGCCGCCTTAATGCCAGATTGAGAAGAGAAGTTGAGAAACAAACCTTGCAGAGCCTTTATCTTAATTTCGTTAATGCCAAAATACCCGTCATCATTTAGAGTTTATTTTAATTTGATTTGTTAAGAAATATTTTTTTCATTTGTGTGTTGGCCAATTTAAAGGCTAAGTGCATCTACCTAGACCTATAGAGTGCTGATATGTTACGATGTTACAGAGGACTTACTTTAGCTATTTGTTCCAACTTTCAAGTGGCATATAGCCTAGTCTACGTTTGTTACGAATAAATGATGTTAAAATGTATAAATGACTCATTCTTGAAAAAATGCAATAGAGCTGTGTGCATGAGCACATTTGAATAATGTCGGGCTGTAAATGGGTTCGGGCTTTATAAAGCTGTCAATCAAAATGTACCTGTCGGACTCGGGACCTATCGGGTATAATGTTTATGGCCCGATTACAGCTCTGCATTCCCGCTGCAGTACCGCAGGAGCCGGCCAGATTTCTTATGGTGTGGGAGTAAATTTCTGAATAAATCGCGGGAGAGATGTGTGTGTGTGTGTGTGTGTGTGTGTGTGTGTGTGTGTGTGTGTGTGTGTGTGTGTGTGTGTGTGTGTGTGTGTGTGTGTGTGTGTGTGTGTGTGTGTGTGTGTGTGTGTGTGTGTGTGTGTGTATGTGAGAGAGAGAGAGAGAGAGAGAGAGAGAAAGAGGTGCTGTGCGTCGCTTGGCGCTTGCTCTCTCTCTCTCTCTCTCTCTCTCTCTCTCTCTCTCTCTCTCTCTTTCTGAATGGTTTAGGCTCAAGCCAACAGTTTGGTGACGCTGTTTGAGCCTTACGTCATAATTTTTTTATTACGCCGGTAATACCGGAAACCGGGGTAAAATATGGAGGCGGTTTGACGGTATCAAAATTTGGATACCGCCCAAGCCTACTGTACAGTATTGTGTCTTTTGTTTCGGTTGTCTTCATCTTACTCCTTTCCTGATGATGCGATGGTGGGCTTTATCTGCCTGATTCCTGCTGAAGTGGGCGGTTTGTGTGACGTTTGATTTGGGGGACGTTCTGGGGGCGGGGTTTGCGTGACTTGCTGCGAGCTACTTGCCCGACAGTGGAAACGTGACATGATTTCGGCCTTACTGCTCAGCCTCTCGGGCGATTGGCCCAGCCCGGTCCGATAAAAGCCCTGGCTCGCAGTGGCCCGACAGTGGAAATGCGGCTAGTGTTTACTAGTGTGGAGTCTCATGAAGGAGCTCTAGTTGGAAACTTCTGTATTGTGTTTATCTTTATGATTAAAGATGTTGCATGTCTGCCAGTTTCACATCTAAATGAGCGAGCTTTAGCTACTTGTAGCATTCAAAAAGAAACAAAACTTTAAAAAAAAAAAACACAAAGAAACTTGACATAGAGGAAAACCGAGTGTGAAGGGAAAGGGCTTCAAATTTTACCCCTAAGAATTGGGACAGCACTACAGCACCTACACGTCATCTTATGTCATCATGATTTCTTGCTAAATATGGGAACAGATGATCGCGACTGCTGTAGTTATTCCAGTTGTGTTATTTATTGGTATTTATCTTCAGGAAATCACTGAAGGCATATATTATGTTTTCATAACGATCTAAAGTGACAATAAGATCGTAACTGTACTGTTTATTTACACAGTGGCCATATTCATCTATGTAAACACTTCAAAAACAGCATTAACATTATAGCAGACGCTGTAAAAAGCTCATTCCCTGCCACTAGACTTTTCTGACAGGGTATTCGAGTGTCATTGAGTGTCAGAATGTGTGGGACTGCTGTACAGGATTTATGATTATGGATTATAGATTGTGGAATTTAGCCGTTTATTTTAGCTTTTTTTTTTTTTTTTAAGCATGACGGTAAAACACAAATGCGGTTATGAATATATTAACTTTAATTACGTGTTGGTTTGTTGTAAAAATTCGTAATGATGACAAAAAATACTCATTTGTGGATCTCCTTACTTCCAGGTGTAACTATCTGCTGTTGTGGCTGGTGTATTCTGGGAAATTTTCTTACCCCTTAGTTTCGAGTGTGGTCCTGAAAAATATTTGTTCGAAGGGGTATTCACTGCTTCCCCTTAGCCCTACGCCCTCAAGCTAAAGAGAATTGGGACACCCTTACCCCTTAAGGGCTAAGGGGTAGAATTGGGATGGGACCTTACTGCCTGCTAGCGTTTCAGAAGTATTATTGCAGAGCAACACACATAGCACGCAGAAGTATAAATGCAAGGCTAAATGCAAGGCAGGCCGTGGGTCATGCTGATCACTCAACAAAAAGTATAAACCAGCCTTATGTTGGCTGGTAAAGATGTTCAGCCTTTTTTTTATTCATGAAGCATTGATTGCAGTTCACTCAATAGCCAGTTGTGTCAGTATTAGTAAGGGTTTTTTGTTTGTAGTTCGCCAAAAAATGACAATTTCCTCACCATTCTAAACTTTTATGACTTTTTTTTTTCTTCTGTTGGACAATAACATATTCTGAAGAATGCTGGAAAAAAACAGCCATTGACTTCTATACCAGATAAAAAAAATATTGAAGTCAAATGCTACTGCTTTCCAACTATCTTCAGAATATCTTGCTTTGTTCAACAAAGGAAAAACTCAAACAGGTTTGTAACATATAAGTAAACGAATCATTTTGTGGTGAACCATGCCTTTAAGAGCAGCTTTATTACAGTGTTACAGTTTTATTTTCCTCATTGAATAAATACTTTACTAATTTATGTGAATCCGATGTCTTTCTCAAGTCAAGAGAGCGAGCCTCCCTATATGAATGACCTTCTTGAAGAGCCGGATGAAAACTTCAGGTGGTCTGAACAAGAACATGAGCAGCAAAGGCAGTGGGTGAGTCTTTGTCATTTACTTTTTGACGATATGGAACATTTTTATTAGGGCTGTAACGATACACCAAACACACGATTCGGTTCGTATCACGATTTTTTTTTTCGTGTGGGGTGGGAAAAAAAAGATTTTTAAAACTATTTTTTATTAAATAACATTTGAAAAATCTTTATAAACTAAACATTAAAGAACAATATTAACTATGCAAACTATTAACAATATAAATAGCCATATATAAAATAAATAAATAGCCAAAGCTATATCACTTCTGTTTTCTTTGTAACAAAATACTGTTGAAAAACCAAACAGAACTAAACTCCATTGTGTAGATGGTTCAAGCATGTTGAAAATTATTTTTCAATCAAGTTCTCTTACATAGAAAAAGTAAATTAAATAGCTACTAGAGATGCTCATTTCGGTTAATTTTGCTAACCGACAACCACCGCTCATTAATCGGTTATTAACGGTTAACTGGTCAGATTACTATTAATTTTATATTAAACAAATTGACGTGTCTATTTTGTGTCTGACTCATTAAATATTGCATTTTAAAAAACTGATTTATTTTTATATATTAATAGCGGAACAGAACAACAGAGCATCTTCACGCACCTGCAGTGTTTAGCACAGAAGAGCAGAATAATCTAAAAAAAATGAATAAAATAAATAGGACTGCCCTAAATTATTTTCACTTAAATAGTTAATTTATATTACAAAACGAAAATACTGACTGATTCTTTTAAATAACCGGCATGGGCTTTTTTTTTTTTCCAATCATATGTTTTTTTCTTCCGTCAAATAAAAATAGCTGACTTCCTCAAATTGCCCGCTCCACGGAAAATATGCATTTATTTAATGCCCCGCTGTTATTATTATAATCACAAAACTTTTTACATTTTTAATAGAAATCATTATTTTAAAGATTATGTCCTGATATAGCCTATGGTTTCCTCTCTCTCCCTCGCGGTTAAGTGTGCGCTGCGTAATGAAAAGACAGCAACAACGCGCGCATATGTAGACTTTTTGTAAACAGTTTTGTTGTTTAAATATGATATTGCATTAATCTGCGTACATGCTTTAAGCTGTAAAATAAAAAGTAAAGCCTATTTGTTGCATTTATTACGCAGATCCAGGTCAACATAAGCGCTGGTTTAGCATCAACAGGTCTGTATCAAACAGCAATATTCTTCTTCCATTTTGCTTCTTTGGCAAATGTGTCTGTAGGCACGGGTTATACGTTATCATCCCGCAAATTAAGTATGCCTTGCAGTTAAACAAGGGGCCGAAAACAAGGCGCACCTCACTGCCTTTATGTTGACATGGAAAAAAGAAGAGGCTTGGTCCTCTTATGAAACGACTGAATCAGCTGGTTATCGATTGTGCAAAAGTGTTGCTGTCTGTGTTGTTACAATTGTAATATTTAATACTATTGTGATATTCAAGATATGTATATTCATACAGCTTTTGATAACTTAAAACAACGATTAGACCATCAGAGCGGTGTTAATGCGTCCTGAAGTAAAGCGAAACGGCTATAAACTCCAGCAAGATAGAGTGATTATATGCAGAGCCATATACCTTTATCTCTAAATAAAGTATAACTATAGAAACTGAGTTCATCTTAACTTAAAGCTTCGTCGTGTTTTCTGACCTCACGCATCGCGAACCTGTCAGTCAGCCCTCTCAAAGGTTCAAACAGAAAGCGCACAGCACGGTTACAGAAAAGTTTGCGCTGTTACCTGACATCTGGTGAACGCCCATCCCTCTCTGCGCAGCCACATTAACAGAGTGAGCAAATCATCGTATATGCGCTGAAAATCCGGCCGCTTTGACAGCATTGGCAATGTTTCTGGCGTTTTTGGTTGTCAAGCGAGGTTAAGTTGGTTTTGTTTTTGATATTCTTGACACATTCAGACAGTCCCTTACTAAGAGCTCCGTGCGAGCTCTCCCGGCTAAATATTGCGAGGGCTTAAACGGAGCAGTGCTTGTAATGTCGAACGAAAAAAAGTGTTTATTAGCTCAACTTTTGCAGGCACGCGTGACGTTTTTGGAAAGGTATTCACGGGGTGTGTCGCGATTCTCCCTTATCACACCGCGACACAGGATCGTAGATCTGAGTGTCGCGATTTCGATTTTATATCGTGTATCGTTACAGCCCTAATTCTTATAGATTTTTTAAAATGGATCCTCAGAAAATAAAACTTGTATTGCATAATGCAACATAAACAATGTCTCTTTATGAAGTAAAATATGACGTGCATAAAAGATTAAAATAACCCACAGTCATTTTGGACTATTAGTTTGATGTCCTCCATTGGTTGCACATTGTGAGCTGCTGGTGCTGAATGTTGATGTATACACAATTGAAGTCAGAATTATTAGCCCCCCTGTTTATTTTTTTTTCCCCCAATTTCTGTTTAACGTAGAGATTTTTTTCAGCACATTTCTAAAAATAATAGTTTTAATAACTGATTTATTTTATCTTTGCCATGATGACAGTAAATAATATTTGACTGGATTTTTCAAGACACTTCTATACAGCTTAAAGTGACATTTTAAGGCTTAACTAGGTTAATTAGGTTAACTAGGCAGGTTAGGGTAATTAGGCAAGTTCTTGTATAACAATGGTTTGTTCTGTAGACTATCAAAAATATAGCTTAAAGGGGCTAATAATATTGACTTTAATTTTTTTTTTAATTAACTGCTTTTATTCTAGCCAAAATAAAACAACTAAGACTTTCTACAGAAGAAAAAATATCAGACTAGAAAATGTCAGTTGCACTGTTAAACATAATTTGGTAAAAAATTTAAAAAGAAAAATAAATCACAGGAAATTTTGAATTCTGACTTCGTGTAAATGTAAAATAGTTAGTTTTTGTTGCTCTGTTATGAGTTTAAATGCCAGTGGATATCGATTGAAATGTGTGCTAAGAAACTGAAGTGACTAGAAACACCAAATGCCATCCTAACCCGATGTAAAGTAAAGTGTAGAGTGTTCTCCAGTTATGAATGATGCATCACAGACGTTAAGCTGTTTCTCACTGGATAATTTACTCACTATCTTGTATTGTTTAGATAGTTGTTGAGCAAAATACAGTTTTTGTGAAGATATCGATGACTTCTTTTGTTTTAGCAAATGTATCAGTATTATAATTTTTGACCATTTGAAATAGCGCTGCCTACATAGTCCAAAATAAATGTGGATTTATTTTAAATATCCTAAATCTTTCAAGGATTTTCTATTAAATATTACACTAAGACACAATTCTGCACAATTATACATTATGCAAAGTCTTTATAACTGTGGATTCTTTCACAAATATTTGGTGTTTTTAATAATTTTCAATTTTGAATTTTCCAGGATGCCCCACGTCAAAGAATGCCAGAGCCAACCCGACAGAACATTTTCAATAACGTAAGTCTTTTCTACTGCATATTTCACTAAGAGGCACTGTTAAATTAAGCCATATACACTCATCTGCCACTTTATTAGGTACACCTTACTAGTACCATGTTAGAACTGCCTTTATTCTTTATGGCATAGATTCAATAAGGTACTGGAAATATTTTTCAGAGGTTTTGGTCCATATTGGCATGATAGCATCACACAGTTGCTGCAGATTTGTTGGCTGCAGACCCATGATGCAAATCTCCTCCACCACTAGGGGTGTAACGATTTATCGTTGTACGATTTATTGCGATGCAAAAATGTCACAATATGCATCGGGGCGTTATGACGATTTGATCACGATATGATGTCCGTTTTCTCTTATTGAGCTGTTTGCACGTGAGCTACGTTCCACCTGCTGTCGCACGTGAGTTCAGATTGCAGCAGCAGTAATGTTAGCAGACCAAGATGAGTGGAGCTGAAATAGAGGATGGCCCATCTTCTCAAAATCAGACGTCTGGCAACATTTCGGTTGTACAGTCATAGCTTTAGACTCGTCCGCTTTTTGACACGCATACTGGGTCAAACATCCTAAGTTTTAAAGTCTTCACAGTGATTTACATACTTTGCACAGCGACAGAGATACCTCCTAATGGTGTTGAAAGAGTCACATACTGTATTTATAAGGTACAATTCACCCTAAAATATCATTCTGTCTTCATATAATGTTCCCGCCGCAAAATCACACATGACGTGAACTGACCATGAGCTGTTACTACAGAGGGCGGACTGATAGACGCGCGCGTATGGCAAGCCGTTTTAGCATTTAAACCTTTGTTCTGACTATCCATAAATACATTTAGAGATATCTCTAATTATATTTTGACTAGTCATAATTATAATTCGACTAGTCAGAATGACAATTAGAGATATCTGCAATTACAATTGTACTAGTACGAAATCAGATTGGAGATGTCTGCAAATATATTATGACTAGTCATATTCCTCCATTGACTTCCATTGAAAAATATTTGCAGATATCTCTAAATGAGTTTTGACTAGTCACAATTCTAATTAGAGATATCTCTAAATGAATTTAATTAAATATGAATTAAATACCTGGAAATGTGGATTTTTTTTTTGCACACACAAAAAACGCAAGCAAAGCCTTAAGCTCTTACTGTTAAATTCAATTGAATAGAAAGCTTATTTTTTTTGCACCTTTACTTAAATTGTTCCTTAATTTTGTCTCTGTCATTTCAATAATATTTTAAAGAAGTTTTTAAATTGTTTTATTTTCCAGAGACAGGCCTGTTTAATTTATTTTCTTAAAGAAGGTTCAGTTTAACAAGTTGAAACAAAAGAAATTCATAAAAAATAGTTTACTTGGTAAAATTTGCATTTCAGTTTAATTTTCAATTTTTATTCCAAATATCGTGATACATATCGAATCGTAAACATTATATCGTGATACACATCGTATCGTGAGCTGAGTGTATCGTTACACCCCTATCCACCACATCCCAAAAGTGCTCTATTGGATTGAGCTATGGTGACTGTGGAGGCCATTTGAGTACAGTGAACTCATTGTCATGTTCAAGAAACCAGTCTGAGATGATTCATGCTTTATGATGTGGTGTATTATCCTGCTGGAAGTAGCCATCAGAAGATGAGTACACTGTGGTCATAATAGGATGGACATGGTCAGCAACAATACTCAGGTAGGGTGTGGCTTTGACATGATGCTTAATTGGTACTAATGGGCTCAAAGTGTGACAAGAAAATATCCCCCACACCATCACCACCAGCCTGAACCTTTGATACAAGGCAGGATGGATCCATGCTTTTATGTTGTTGACGCCAAATTCTGACCCTTCCATCTTAATGTCACAGCAGAAATTGAGACTCATCAAACCAGGCAACGTTTTTCTAATCTTCTATTGTCTAATTTTGTTAAGCCTGCGGAATTATAGCCTCAGTTTCCTGTTCTTAGCTGACAGGAATGCCACCACTGGTGTGGTCTTCTGCCACTGTAGCCCATCTGTCTCAAGGTTGGACGTGTTGTGCATTCAGAACATGCCACATTCAAAGTCACTTAAATTAACTTTCTTCCCCATTCTGATGCTCGGTTTAAACTGCAGCAGATCATTTTGATCATGTCTACATGCATTAAGTTGCTGCAATGCAATTGGCTGAGTGACCAGTGGCCAGTGAGTGTAGGTCTTAAAGGGATATTCACCCCAAAATAAAAATAATTTCTCACCATTTACTTTCAGTGGTTCTAAACTTTTATGATTTTCTTTCTTCTGTTGAACACAAAACTATTTTTTTTATATACATATTTCAGTACAACTTACTTTAAACTGGTTCAGAACAAGGATAAGTAAATGATGGCAGAATTTTCATTAAGAGAGTTTGATTTCTAAAATGATCAATTTTGGTTTTCCAGGATGCTCCACGTCAAAGAATGCCAGCAGCTACCAGACAGAACGTTTTTAATAATGCAAGTCTTTCATTGCTTTTCTACTACATATTTTACTAAGAGAGTTGTACCATATCAAGCCATTCAAATTCTTATATATAAGATTTATATTTTAAAAAGAATTATTGTTCTTATGATGATCTATTTTGGTTCTCCAGCAGGGTTCACGTCAAAGAAAACCAGAACATCCCAGACAGAACTTCTACCCGAGGGGCAACCGTACGGGCAGACAGCGTGGAAGGAGGAATTGAAGTTGCTTTAGAAAAGGTTAGTGAGTGTGTTTAATTATATGTTTGTTCAGTTATTTTGAAGAACTAAATTAATGCCAAGTCCATTTTTTTACCTGCAGGTGGCACTTTGAGGAGAAAGTGAACATTTCAAACCTGAGGTCACACGCACACTACATGCTTTCACTGTTTCTGTGTTTACATTAGAACCACTAAGACCATAAATCATTTATTGTGCGTCAGATTCCTTTATTGCTTTTCACTGATATTACGCTTGTGTAATCTTTCTCATCCATGTCTGATTGACCCACTGCCATTTTGTCAAATCTGAAAGAAAGCTGTTTTAAATGAACAGCTTATAAAGAAAGATTAAAAAGTTTAAAGTGGAAGAACTCTTTGGGCAAATATCGTTTTATCACCCTCAAGCATTAATGTTCATCATTGTCTATGGAGAGATTAGTTTTTGGTTTAATATTCCACATTTTGACATCAGGCACAGTTGAAATTTTATTTCAAATTTAAATGGCCCCTTCATAGCAGTTCACACCAGTTAGATTTGCTTTTATACTAAAATAGATTTTTTTTTTGTATCTGCCTATATAATTTGAAATTTCATATTCTCTGTATTCTGCTGTGTAAACTCCAAGTAGAAATTCTTGTGTAAATAAAAAAAAAATTATTTGTGCCAATGTTTTCAAATGAATCTTTGGTTGTTTTGATTTACAATTCTGCACTATTTATTGTACAAAACAAGAATGCAAAAGCTGTACATGAAAACATCCTTTACAATACAGTATTTGTGTTATATCTGTCAGAAAGTAATATCCTATGTAATTTGTTTTCAATAGGAGCCTTAATGAACACTGCATTGTGTCTAGTAGGGTTGTCACGATAATGGAATTCTCTACCAATCAATACTGAATGCTCCAGTGTCCCTGTATCTGATGACCTTCACAGCCAATCAGTCATTTCTGTTGAGCGCATGAACAAGATGGCAAATCAGCACCGTTTAAGAACGCGCTCAAATGTTTGCACAAAATAAAAGTTTTGAAAATTTTAGTATCGATTGGTAACTAATTTCAGTATTATGCAACCCTTGCACAGAGACGCCCAAACTAGGCCCCGCAGGCCAACAATGGCCCATGGTAACATTTGAATTTGCCCGCCATCCCATCTGAGAATGGTTTAGAGATTGTCCTTGTCAATGTCATCAAATTTAATGTAACCTTTTATTTGTTTTATTATTAAGCTACAAAAAAGCTATCGGAAATTAAATGTTACAATTTAAATGGTGTAAAGCAATCAGACCTAGTTTAAAATGTACATATGATGCATAGAGGACAATGCAGAACCTTTGGTAAATGAATCAAGGCAAATATTTTGAAAGGAGTCAGAAAATTACCCATGGCAGCTTTAATGTAAAATAGTTTGGTATGTTTATCTTCGGCCCACAGCTATCAATGATATTTGGTTTTTGGCCCTACATATAAAAAGGTCTGGGCAACCCTGGTTTAGTATAACATTTAAGTTACAAATGTGATGCTGTGCAGTGTTCATTAAGACACTAGTGCTTTCAAAATCACAGTATTAATCCATAGTAAAAGGCACTAAAAGTTTTCAAACACTTTAAATTCTCTTAAAACGACTGTTTAGTACATGTAGGCATTTCAGTATGAGTATTTCCACAGAGGAAATTAATGACAGGGCAATGGTTTGAAAGACACCTCAGCATTCTCCTCCACAATGATATCATATCGACACATTAGCGACCTGTTGGAGACAAGCAAAAAAAAAAAAAACATGATAAAATGACTGTGCTTTATTAGCATGCATCCAAATTACAGTAATTAACTGAGAAATAAAACAACTAGATGTTAACCTGTATGGTTTTTCCAGTGGAGAGATCCGTATACGAAGCAGCCTTATCTTGTATCGAGGTCCAATAACATTTCCAGTGACGATCCGTAATGATATTTTCTGAATTGGATATAGATCCTCATCAAACTGCGCCAGTAGCCGAGTGGAGGTATACTGCTCAAACCTCATCAGTTTGCTAAACCAAATCACATGAAACAACAGTTACAGGACAGCAAGCCAAATACTGACGGGTCTCTGGTATTTATATTCATACATACTTGTCTATGTGTGCCTCGGTTACATTTTTCCCATTGTGCAGTCGGAGTATGACCACTCCCCAGCGTAGGAACTGGTTCCAGGTAACTAAGTCCACTCTGTAACTCGTCTCTGTTCAAAAGAGAAATCACATTATGGCACAAACTGCCTTATGAGGAAACTAATTGAACGGTTATGATAACTCACTGCTATAGGGGAGTTCTGCTGTTGTTGAGAAATATGCTCTAGTTTGTCCTAGTCTTAATAGCTTGTCCCTCCATTGGCTGAGGTCATAACCTAGGGAGGAAAATTATAGAAGTTAGTTACATTTTGTTGTTTCATAATTGTTGTCAGAAGCCGTTAAGCAACACACTGCTTGATATTGTCAGCGATTTTATTTACATTCATGAAGCAAGGGGGTATTTTTATGCAAGCTACAAATATCAGATGTAATGTTCATGTTCGAAAAATATTGTAATGGTAAACTGGTATGATGCAAACATTAGATATTTGTTTACTTGCTTAAACTGCGTACCAGTGTTCATGTTTTGAAGTTTTGGCCCCAGCTGCCTTCCATATTAGTGGACATTTTCTTTTTAATGTGAAACTCCCAAATACCTAAATTCCTGTTGAAATTACTGGTTTTTGTCTGCAAATCTTCATAAATCAGGTAAACGTGATCATAATTTCTGAATGTGTCTGAATAAGCCATCTGAAATCTGCCATTTATTCTTCACTTGTCACAAATCTGTTTGAGTTTCTCCGGTAAAACACAAAGTAAGTTTTTTGAAAAATGTTGAAAACCTGTAACCACTGACTTCTGTAGTATTTGTTTTTCATACTATGGAAGTCAGTGGTCTAACATTGTTCAAAATAGCTTATTTTGTGTTCAACAGAAAAGATAAACTTAGGGTTTAGAACCACTTAAAGGGGAGTAAATGTACATTTTGGGGGAACTATCTTTGAATTACAAAATATTTAGAGGGTGAATGGCCTGAAGGCTTTTAAATAAAAATGTATTTAATATGATTGCATCAACACACAGTTTGTCACTGATAGCACATCCATGACCACAACAGCCAATTAAATAAATATATTTCAAACTTAATTTGCATACTGGAAATATACTGATGTTCTGGCATGCATGCAAACAAAAAGTGTTATCACCTATAAAAATTGCCACCTCAACACAGTCAAACTGTCTACGCAGTGGAGAAACTCATTAAAGATGCTGGCTTTAACATGGTTTTGTACAGAGGCCGAGAGAGCTTAACATTCTGCAATTTAATAAAACACGTGAAATTACAAAACACACCCGCAAATTACGAAAAGATCTTCATCCGTTTGACAGCACACATACTGCAAATCCTCACAACACAAAGTCGCAAACACTATAAAACGCCCTGCAATTCACACAACACAAACCTTAATAAAACGTGGTGCATTTCTCACAACACAAAAAGAACGGAACACAGTGGAAATGTTTCTAGGGGGCCCAAAAACATGACTGACACCGTTGAAGTTTTATGGGATCTTCAAAAGGTGAGTTTTTGTGTGTGTGTGTGTGTGTGTTTGTTTACCCGATACTAATGTGTTTAGTATTAATTAGCCTAAATATCAATAACCAGGATCCGTCACGTTTTAGGGTCTCCTTGAAACATTTCTGTTGTGTGTGAAATGCAGCGCGTTTTCTTAATGTTTGTGTTGTGTAAAATGCAGTGCGTTTTATAATGTTTGTGTTGTGACTATGCAGCATGTGTGCTTTCAAATGGATGAAGATTCTCAATTTGCTAGTGTTTTTTTTTTTTTTTTTTTTTTTTATAGTTGCAGCACATTAAGCTCTCTCAGCCACCGTAGTTTTGACCCCAACTGCCTTCCATAAAAAACATCCATAAAATATGTCTCTATGGAAGGCAGTTGTGGCTGAAAGTCTTAAATCAAACCCTGTGAAACATGTTAAAGTGGCCATAATAAAAGTATCTGTTTTGTGGTTTAGGCATCTACAGTGATATCTCAATAAGAAACATGACATTTGAATAGGTTTATCACCATGTACTCTCTTCTTGTGCAAAAATAGTCATAAATACAGCATTTTTTGGCCCTAACTTCCTTTCATATTACCCCACACGACTAAAGAGTTAGAGCTGTTTCAAACAAATGTCACGCATGAAATCATGGTTTACTAGGTCTATTTACCTAGAACAGGACAGGAAGCGGGCTTGAAGGTCTCACACTGCAAACACTGGCCGCTGAGGAAGTCACTGTATGATGAACACGGGTATCCCGTAAGACTGCAGGTGCGATTCAGAGAGCACAGGTACAGAAACACTGACCTCTGGTGATCACACACAAAATAAGATTTCCCTGTGGTGAAGGTGAAGAGAAATTAGATTAGATCTTTAGCCCTGTTGCCTGTTTAACGTAATAGTATAATGAATTCAGTCTCATTGTATGGATTACATAATGTAAGGCAAGATGTGTGTAATACACTTTCAGAGACGGGGCTTTTTGGCTTTCCATATAAGTCTTTTTTTTTCTCTCTCCTTTTTTCCAGTTTAATGTTAAGAATACATCTGCAATGCTCTTAAGTGTTTATTTGATCACACTCATCAGTTGACTAGCAGTAGATTTCTATTTTAAAACATTTCTGTTTTATCAAAATTAATTTTTTCCCTCTGCATTGAGCTACAAATCTCTATTCCAGCAACTTTTAATCATGTCTGTATGCTACATTTTTTTTTTACATAGGTATACACTCACCAGCAACTTTATTAGGTACATCTTATTACTAGTACAGGGTCGGACCCCCTTTTGCCTTCAGAACTGCCTTAATCCTTCATGGCATAGATTCAACAAGTGACTGGAAATATTCCACAGAGGTTTTGGTCCATATTGGCATGATAGCATCACACAGTTGCTGCAGATTTGTCGGCCTTCATACCCATGATGGAAATCTCCACCACATCCAAAAGGTGCTCTATTGGATTGAGCTATGGTGACTGTGGAGGCCATTTAAGGTCAGTGAACTCATTGTCTTGTTCAAGAAACCAGTCTGAGATGATTTGCTCTTTATGACATGATGTGTAATGCTGCTGGAAGTAGCCATGAGAAGATGGGTACACTGGTCATAAAGAGATGGACATGGGCAGCAACAATACTCAGGTAGGCTGTGGCTTTGACATAATGCTCAATTGGTATAAATGGATCCAAAGTGTGCAAAGTAAATACCCCCCACACCATTACACCACCACCACCAGCGTGAACCATTGATACAAGGCAGTATGGATCCATGCTTTAATGTTGTTGACGCTAAATTTTGACTCTACCATTTGAATGCTGTAGCAGAAATCCAGACTCATCAGACCAGGCAACATTTTTCCTATCTTTCATTGTTCAATTTTGGTAAACCTGTGCCAATTATAGCCTCAGTTTCCTGTTCTTAGCTGACAGGAATGGCAACCGGTCTTCTGCTGCTGTAGCCCATTCACCTTAAGATTGGACGTGTTGTGCATTCAGAGATGCTCTTCTGCACACCTCGGTTGTAGCAAGTGTTTATTTGAGTTACTGCTGCCTTTCTATCAGCTGGAACCAGTCTTGCCAATTTCCTCTGACCTTTGGCATCAACAAAGCATTTGCACCCACAGAACTGCCGCTCACTGGATTTTTTCTCTTTTTCAGAACATTCTCTGTAAACCCTAGAGATGGTTGTGCGTGAAAATCCCAGTAAATCAGCAGTTTCTGAAATACTCAGACCAGCCCGTCTGGCACAAACAACCATGTTCAAAGTCACTTAAATCATCTTTCTTCCTCATTCTGATGCTCGGTTTGAACTGCAGCAGATCATCTTGACCTTGTCTACATGCCTAAATGCAGTGAGTTGCTGCCATGTGACTGACTGATTAGAAATTTGCGTTAACGAGCAGTTAGACACATGTACCTAATAAAGTGGCCGGTGAGTGTATATTCATACATAATATACTGATTAAGTTCATTTTATATACAACTTCATCCAGTGTTGATTTCTTTTTGTACTCGAAGTGTGTGCAAATTTCTCACTTATTTAATTAAATAATAGCTTATTTGCATATTTGAATATAGCATTTTTAGAAAACTTGTAATACAAAAATGTTTGTAGTTATTAACATAATCAAGTGGAATATATACTATTAGTTTTTATTTATTTTCTTCATTTTTTTACTTATTGTGTAAAAATTTTATTACAAAACCAGATTTTTGCATTTTATTTAGCATTTTATGTGATATCATCTAAAACAGTTTAACTGATTCTACTGAATTATTTTGGGATGCTGATTCTACTGAATAATTTGTATCTCCACCCTGACCTCTCCCAAAAGTTTAATCTTAACGTACTGACCTGAGAAGATGGTTTTGGGACATCCCGGCTGATCTAATCCTCCATTGGCATAGAAATCAATATGACCATGCGTTCCTCTGAGGCCAAAGGCTGCCACAGGAAACAGAGCATAGGATTGTTAGGCTAATTTTAGCATGCTATGTAGTACTGTTTTAGCATTGACATTTCTAATGTGATAAATGACCTTAGATCCTATCCAATTAATGACTGGATTGAATGTGACATGATTAAACATGGCAACATTGGTTATGTAAAAAGTTTGATTGCCCTACTAAAATATTATATATTTATTCATGGAATAGCAATGCAAAATAAAAAATAAAAAACTTTAAAAAATATTTGAAACAATTTACCTGACAATACTTTTCGGAATGAAAACTATTGTTAGATTTAATGATATTTAGTGGGTGTCTCCTGTATTGTTTTTCCTACATTATATTAGGCAGCTTACTTTAAATGCACACATATATAGCCATAGCTGTATGTGAATATATAGAGTATCTTCAGAATTATCATACTTACAATTCATATCTGTGTGCAGCACATCTACAAACTGGGCATCGGTTGGATCGAGACGTTCCTCAGGCGAAACACTGGCAAACATTGGCCCTGCTGGATCCAGACCTGCAGTAGACAAGTAAAACTTAATTTAGTAAGCATGATTAACTAACTGAGCAAGGCATTGTGCCGAAACATCTGTGTTTTGTTTCAATTGAAGAATGTAAAATAAAAACGATACAAAGCAATTATTTAATGAGTGTGAATCATGACCTTCTAAATAATATTATTGACAAGATTACAGCACCAAAAAGTTTTTTTTTTTGTTTTTTTTTTACGCAAGCACGCAGGGCAAACTTCATTACTCAACATGATTAACTTACTGAGACAGTTCACTTGACACGACACTGAAAACATACTATTTACTGACATCTAATTGGTTCCAAACTATTATGAGTTTGTCTTATGTTGAACACAAAACAAGATATTTTGAAGAATGTTGGAAACCGAGAGCCATTAACTTAAAAAAATACTGTGGAAGTAAATGGTTACCAGTTTACAACATTCTACGAAATATTTACTTTTGTGATCTTCAGAAGTAATTAAGGATGCATGGCCCCTGAAAGCGTTTTTTTCCCCCCAAGCTTTTAAGACATTTTTTTATTGTTGTCAATGGAACCGCCACGTTTTTGAAAATGCCAGCAGCTTAGCTTGAATTTTACACTAAGCATTGAGAATTTTTAAAAAGGAGACAGTTCTTACACCATCATGATTTTTGGCAGCTGAGAATTTATAGAAGACTGCTGGCATTTTCAAAAATGCTGCACTTCTATTAAGAACAATAGAAAAAAACTCAGTTTGGGAAAAAAACACTTTGGTAAACACACGCCCTAAGATTTAGGACAAAGGGGAGGGTGATTAATGATGCTAGATTTAAAAAAAAAAAAAAAAATGTGGGACTCTCTTGAAGTGTCAGTTGTGTTTCTTTGCCCGTTTACATTAATATGTTTTAGTTTTAAAATGCATTGATTTTGCTACGGTTACACCTTTTGTCTACACTACCCGAAAACAGAGCTTTTTAAAAATCCAGAAGACGCCATTTTTAATTTAAAAACGCTGCTGCTCCGTGTTAGTGTGGATGGGGGAAGATAGAGACATCTGAAATCGGAGGCATGACTGCAGACATCTGATTGGGGCTTCTTCCACAAAATTAAGTGCACAAAGTTCGAGAGGGGTCTGGCTGCAGACCTGGTGCAGTGCAATCTGGGCTGCATCCAATGCTTTTTAATGGGCTCACCTAACCCCACCCCTAACCCTACCCGTCACAGTGACGTCACTAGCTCCATTTAAGTGCATTGTGTCTGACATTGCATCGCTGAGTGATGCAGTCTCAGCTTGTCTCAAAAAGGCTGCATCCAGATACTATTGCAAAGTTCAGTCTTGTACCCATTCCTTAAGTTCAGTCTTTGCAAGTTTGATATGAAAAACAAACTCCTGTGGACACATCAGGTGAAAACAGAGTATTTTACGTCATTCGCCTCATCCTGGCTACGTTGTTTCATTATCTTAACAATAAAAAGAAAACATGATATGAGGAACTGCCTATTTTCATTTTAAAATTAAATAACTAAACACTAAAAATGTTGAGGCATGTTGTAGCAACATATTTATATGAGCGTCATCTTCACTATATTTAGAACAAAACGGAGCCTATAATATAACTGCCTCCTTTCATTTTCGTTATAAAATATGAAACATACCCTCTCTTTTGCTAAGTATCAGTTTCAATAAGCAATAAGGCCATTATAAAAGTTAAATGTGCAGAATTAGTGTACGTGGTTACATAAATTAATTAACTTATCTCTGCACTCAGCCAATTAATATATTCAGACCATTAGATAAAGACCAAATGAATTAAATATTACATTCACAATCATAGTGAGAGGAAATCCAGTGGAAAATCCCTGATGAACTGTCCGACCTACGCTGCTCTTAGCCGGGAAGCTGTGCTCAAAGTACATGCTGACTGCCTGGAGCTCAGACCTCCACATACGCTGCCGTGCATGTCAGAGTGTGTGTGGTGTCACGTGATGTGCATTTTCAGTGTAGTGTGGACAGAGATCTGTTCAGAAACGCTAGGGGAAACGCCAGTGTGGACGTGGATCGTTTTTATTCAAAAACGTGTGCAAACGAAGCTTAAATCTCACCTGTGATTCTGCCCACTCGTCCTCCCAACATTGCGCCAATAAAACCAGCCACATGTGCCCCAAGGCTCACACCAATCAGGTGGATAGAGTCAAGAGAGGCTCCCTCTTTCTGAAAGATTCCAACACATCCATTATTTCACGCTGAAATCAAATCAGTTTCTGTGTCCAAACCCTCTATTCGATAAACGATAAATTAACATGGTCTAATGTATGTGTGTGCTGGTGTGTGTAAGCCTTATGTATTTATAACCACCTCAGAGGATATTGGGGGTCCGAAGTCAATGGCATTGTAAACTTGGGGGTCATGGGATGAAAAGTTTGGGAACCCCTGGCTTAGGTGAATGCAAAATTCTTCAGAAACTCCAGGAATTGGTACTTTGAATTTGTATTGGTACTATTTTGAAATGGTTGGTTTTGACCATATTTGGAGGGGCCAACTGAGTATTTAAGGTATTTTGTGATTAATATTAGTCATATTATAATATGTATTAAAATATGTATAATATATATTAACCTTCACATAAACAGATTAGTTTTATGAGGTTATTGCTTTCCTTTTCAGAAAAATCACAGTAAGAGCTAAGTGATATGACACAATGCATAAATGTGCATTTAACGCTTATATTTAGCAGTGTACATGTGTTTGTTGCTTCATTACAAACATACACAAATGTACGCAATGAAACATACGACAATATACATGTTAAACTAACAAAAGATACATCTGAACAGACCATATGTCTCTTCAGGGTGGCACTGAATAAATTTATAATCTGTATATCCCACATTTTGCTTTCTTTTGTGGTGAGAATAGAACTGCTCACTCTTTCTTAAAGCCTTCATTTTCAGAATAAAAGCCTCACAAACATATTAATGATACAAGCTTAGACAAACTTAAAATAGGAGGAAATTATTGTTGTAATCTCACTAGGAAACCTTGTAGCCAATTAAACGTTGCCTGAGGTGTCTGTCTTTTAGATTAATAAACAATCGAGTTTGTGGCTTACTGTATGCCGTTTCCATGTACTGAATTCTTAATTATACAGCTGTGCCTAGGTACAGTTGAAGTTAGAATTATTAGCCTCCTGTTTATTTTCCCCCAATTTCTGTTTCACTGAGAGATTTTTTTTCAACACAATAATTACTCATTTCTAATAACTTATTTATTTTACTTTGCCATGATGACAGTAAATGATATTTGACAAGATATTTTTCAAGACACTTCTATACAGCTTAAAGTGACATTTAAAGGCTTAACTAGGTTAATTAGGTTAACTGGGCAGGTTAGGGTAATTAGGCAATGTATTGTTTATCGATGGTTTATTCTATAGACAAATCAAGAAAAATATATAGTCTAAAGGGGCTAATAATTTTGACCTTAATGTTTTTAAAAAAATAAAAAACTGCTTTTTATTTAAGCTAAAAAAAAAAAACAAATAAGACTTTCTCCAGAAGAAAATTTGGTCCCACTTTATATTAAGTGTCCTTAACTACTATGTACTTACATCAAAAAATAAATACAATGTACTTACTGTGTTTATAATGTATTTGAGAACACTTGTGGTGCATTTGAGTTGGGATAGAGGTTGGGTTATGGACAGGTTTGGTGGCATGGGTAAGTTTAAGGGTAGGTTAAGGTGTAAGGGATGGTCAACAGTGTATTTATCAATGTAATTACAAAAGTTAATTACATATGTAATTACATACATGTATTAATCAAGAATAAGTACACAGTAAATACATGTATTTACACAATAAGTACATTGTAACAAACTATTAATTCCTGTGTAAGTACATATTAGTTAGGGCCACTTAATATGAAGTGGGACCAAATATTATTATCAGACATACTGTGAAAATTTCCTTGCTCTGTTGAACATAATTTGGGAAATATTTAAAAAAGAAAAAGATATTCAAGGTGGTTTAATAATTCTGACCTCAACTGTATATCCAGATTTTTATTCTCCTTTAATGTGTGATATGACCAAATGAAGCACATAAACAGCTATAGAGACAAAGTTATCGCAATTCAAATGAGTAAAGACTTGGACCCAGAAACAATATTCAATACTCAAACAGCATAGGAACAACCGCTGACTCTATACCTCCATGCTCTCTATGAAGCGGGTGATGTTCAGAGCTGTGCCCCGTGTGTTGGCCACTGCTGTTAAGTAGTTGAGGTTTGCTGCTCCTCTGTTCCAGTCCACTACCAGGATGTTCATGTCCTTCTGAGCTGCTAGCAGGTGTACGATGTGGTTGATCCAGATTGGCGGTGCCCCAGTGGGTCGGTACCCATGGATGACAAAGGTGGTGGGTCTGGTTACGTTAAAAAGGGGTTGTTGGGTGAAGTTGTGGTGTGGTAGCTCCTGACCACACTCGAGGTTGGCACGGGTGTAGAGCAGCAGGCGCACGTATAGATTGGTCCCTATGAAAGACTCGTGGAAGTCCAGATCTGTGAAGTTGTCGCAGTCATTGTCCTCACCTGATGATAGAAGACACTGGCTTACAGGTGTGCACTTTAAATGATGGATTGTATAGTTAAATACATTGCTAGCAAGTTTTATCAGAAAGATTAGCACACTGTTTACATCTTCATGAACTGCTAGCATGTTTCCTAAGCCAGTGGTTCTCAAACGTTTTTCATCAAGTACCACCTCAGAAAAAAATGGTCTCTCCAAGTACCACCATAATGACAAGGCAGATTAATTGAAATATTTGTATATCTATTTGTATATCTTTAAAATCTAAACATTAACTTGTAATTTAAAATAAATTATTTGGAATTACATATTTAAATTAGAAATTAGATCTGCTTACTGCGCGTCCTTTACAGTACATTTGTCAGAAAAGTGAGTAATTATAGACAGAAATACACTGCTTGACCAATTCATACATGATTTATCCATTTATACATGTGGATTTTCCATGATTTGAGATCTCGTCTTAAGTGGGCCATGGAGTTTGTGTTAACCACACACAGAGACTGACTTTAATTAGGCTATATTTTAGCTCCAAGCTTCAAGCATGGCAAAGTTGCTTGAGTCTATGTTCTGTGTCCAGTGACATTTAAATCACATCCAGATAAATTAGCCTAAATCTGAGGTAACAAATTAATCGAAAGCCACTCTGCTTTACAAAACAAATAACTTTATATATCGAAAACATGCATTATTTAAATTTTTTTTGTGTTAACTACAAACACACTTTTTTTAAAAACACATGTGTGCCAATTATTTCACCAATGATGCAGCATGCAGTAACTGAAATGCCAACACAACAGCACTGGTTTGCAAAAACGCGTCTCTAGCGTCTATCTGCTCCGCAAGTGCCGTGGAAAGCTCTTTCTCTGGCTCTGCGCCTAAGTGGGTTGATTTTTAGCATCTGAAAATGTAATGAACTAAAGTGAACATTCTAAGCACACTGATGCGATCGTACGCTTCAGGAAACAACCGGTGCTGATCACATCAGTGTAATCGTTCGAGTCAAAGGGTTAATAGTATGTTCATTTTATTTTTCCATTCATTATTCAGTATTACTCCGTGTACCATTAGAAGGAAGCCTACACACCACTAGTGGTACCCGTACCACAGTTTGACAATCACTGACCTAAGCTGATTATTAGGCGATAGATGGATAGATAGAGCATCAGTTATCATGATTTAGCGCACTTTTTCTAACATTTTTTTCTAAATGCTAAAATGTTTTAGCATGTTCGTGCTAGGCTATTTCCTGAGGTGATGGTTTAGCTTTGCTAGTGATGTATGGAGTGTCAGACTGATAATAATATTGATTCATTTCTACAATTCATCACATTACATGCTACTTATGACAAGTTAGCATTTCCTAAGCTGATAGATAGATAGATAGATAGATAGATAGATAGATAGATAGATAGATAGATAGATAGATAGATAGATAGATAGATAGATAGATAGATAGATAGATAGATAGATAGATAGATAGATAGATAGATAGATAGATAGATAGATAGATAGATAATTTCTACAGTTCAAAACATTGCTAACATGCTATAGCAAAGGTAGCATGGTAGCATTTATTATGACTTTGATTAAACATTGAGAAGATTTTATGTGAAGTTAGATATAATATTACTTCTAACATAATTTGCTTGCATATGTCATTTCATTAAGCTTTAAACTAGTGAAAATAAGTTAAATAAAAATAATAATTTGAGTTTTATCAAATTCCTGATAGTCTCTATTCTCATCCTCTCTTATTCCTTCCCAAAATTGACATAGACTGATCAAGTCAAGTAAGCCTGGATTTCAGCGACCCAGTTCCCGCTTCATCTTCCCGTGCGTCATTAAGCATCAGTGTTTCATGCATCCATTTCTCTTCCTGCATGACGATCTTCTTCAACTCATCTTGCATATCTTTACCTCATATGCTGCATCCACTTCATAAATAAGCCACGTGGCCTCTCAGGTTTTCCTTGTAGATTTGCGACCCTAGAGATCATCTTGTGCTCTGTAATTAGCCTCTGCACGTAAGGCACAATTGGATCATGCTTCTATAAAAAAGCAGATCATCCCACTTCTCCTTCCACATGTTCCACTCCCAGCACTGGAAAGATCTGCCATTATTACAGGTGTCGAGTCACATGAGCTTATTGTATTTAACCCTCATCTGTTATGTCTACCATCTGCGAGTGTTACCAATTTAAGCAGACTACTAAAATAAAATTGGTAAATATAGGCCACAAACTAATAGCCTATTTGGTCACATTTTACAGGACCTGAAATTTGAAGATTAGCTGAAAATGTTGTTCTGAACTAATTAAAGGCAAACGTTTATACACAGGTGAATTATAGTAATGTTCAGGCTAGGTTTGTTGCAGTTTAAGTCAAAATGGTTTGATATAGTTGAATTTTTCCAGTCACACCTAACAATATGGAACACATAAGGTATTAACAGGCTGTTTGATGGGTCTTAAAAAGTCTTAAGTCTCAAATTAAAAATGTTAGGCCTTAAAAGGTTTTGCTAAAATGTTGTGTTGTATCTTTTTTTTTTTTTTTTTACCTTTTTTTCTTAGTTTTCCTTTGCTCGTGTATTGCTACCCATCTGGCCATTAATACCCATACAATCACCAGCAATTCATCTCAATCAACTTTTAACTTATTTAAAAAGGTCATTTTTAACTTTATTTACCACTATGGCTTAATTATTTTTCTTAAAATAAAATTTGTCTAAAAGTGCTCCATGTATTTACTTCTGAGGACACCGACCTGGACTGATTGTTGTGCGTTTGTTTAGATTATTATTAACTTTTAGTTTTTTTAAATTATTTTAAAGAAAGTTTATGTTGGGGAAAAAAAGTGTATGAATACAAGTAGAGCTTGTTAGTTTTTACACAATATTTAAATATTTTGCTAAGAAATATCTACAATATGGACATTTTTTATTATTAAATTATTAATGTATTATTAAATTATAATAATTTTTTGAAAGGGCAAATAAAAATCTTTTCCATCTGAGCCATTTGAAAAAACCCTTAGTGTTTAGCCCTTTATGAGTCTAAAATGTAGTTTATAATGGTCTTAAAAATCTCTTAAAGTCTTAAATTTAACTTAGTGAAACCCTCAGAAACCTTGATTTACTAACATGAGCGAACAAATGATGAAAAATACATTTATTAAAGGATTTTTTTCATGTTAGTTCATGAAAATAGCTTTCATTTTACTAATGTCATCTAATGTTAACAAGCACACAGTTTGAACTATGTAAACTATATGATTATTAAATTTAATTTTTCGTTCATTTTGACCCTTAATTGAGTGCAAATTCATTTTACAGGTGCAATTACAAGCCTAGGAACTGACTAATATTTGATATGGTTCATTTTGACAATACTTGGAAGGGCCAACTGAGTATTTGCAATATTTTGTAGTTTTAACATTTATTAATATAATACATTAATATATATTAATTAAAATATATTGTAATATGTATAATTTATATTAACCTCCACATAAAACAGATGAGTTTTATGAGGTTATTGCTTTCCTTTCAGTCCAGAAAAATCACAGTAAGAGCTGAGTGATATGACACAATGCATAAATTTGCATTAAACGCTTATATTCAGCAGTGTACATGTGTTTGTTGCTTCGTTACAAACATATGCAAATTTACTCAAGGAAACACGTAAATTTCACAATATACATGTTAAACTAACAAAAGATACATCTGAAAAGACCTTATGTCTCTTCAGGGTGGCACTGAAATAATTTATAATCCATATATTCCACATTTTGCTTTTTGTGTCTTATCTTTTTTCAGGGGTCGCCACAGTGAAATGAACTGCCCAATAAATGTTAATTGTTCATAAATTGTTCATTCTTTGTTTATGTTAGTAAATATATTAACATTTACTAGCTGTCTCAAATTGTAAAGTGTTAGCAAATGTTCCTTTTAATAATTTCTAATAAGGCTGTTAATAAAATCAAGCAACTTCAACTAATTATTTAAATCCGTTTTCTTATGTTCATTCAATATCTCTATTGAAAACATTGCCAGAATTTGTTTAGTACGCTCAAACTTGGTTGTAGTTTAATATTAATATTTTACAGAAAAACCTACAAAAATTAAAGTACTTGATGCCAAAACAGCTGAACCAAAGAACTTACGTTAATAAAACTGGCTTAAAATAATAAGTTAAACATTGTACAGCTAAAAAATATTCAGTTGTAATCAGATTAGTTCATAAAAATAAGTTGAAGTAACATATAAACATTTTTTAATAGTGACTTTTAGTCATATTTTTTACAGTGTGCATAGTAAATCCAAAATTTTAAATGGTCTTTTTTTTTTATAACATGCACCTGTTGAATCTCATCACACAGTTAAACACAAAATATTGAATCAGAAAGCTCTGGCTAAACACATCTCAAAACCAGCAGACAAGCTCCAGACAGGAAGTCAGTGGATCATAGTTAAGCAAATTAAATCTGTAATCTACTGGACAGAGTCGTGTCCTATCTCTTACCTTTACAAAGCAGAAAGATGCTCAATAAAATCAGGAAACGCCACGGTGACATCTTTATACACAAGATGAGAGAGACTGATGAGGAATATCATGAACACTATAGAAATAACATTGCAGTGTGTGTAGTGAAGGAATGAGCGAGTGGATAAGGGGCTGTGGGCGGAGCTAAGGAGATTGAATGACATCACACATGCTCACAGTTTGGTAGACTGGTGGTAGATCAGCCTTCTCGATCAGCAGGACAGCTTAGGACTTCCAGAAGAGTACAGAAAACCAAACCTGCATGACTCAGCATGACTCTATCTCTATTTAAGGATACAAAGAGATGCTTTTGAAGAATGTCAATGTTTTTTAATCATTGGTTAGTTTATTTTTATAAATTAAATACGGGATTTAGCAGTAAGATTTTTTCATTTGATTGATAATAGCTATTTAAATGTTAAATAGTGGCTGGTGAGTTTGAAATTGGAGAATGGAAAGTATATTCAGGCCTATAGTCAGCTTGCTGAAAGGGCTGGTTCTTTTTTCTCAAAAAGTGGACCCTTTTTCAGTTATTCCCCTCATTTCGAATTAACCTATGAGGTTTAAATGCTGCACTTTAGTGACAATTTAAGCACCGTTTTTAGCTGCAGTCTTGTTGGGTGGTCATCATAACCACACTTTTTGATGTACCAAAAACATTTTCTTAAGATTTAGCATTCTAAATTTAGCATTATTTAGCATTCACATCATGTATCAATCATTCATTCATTCATTTTCTTGTTGGCTTAGTCCCTTTATTAATCCGGGGTCGCCACAGCGCAATGAATCGCCAACCTTTCCAGCACATTTTTACGTAGCGGATGCCCTTCCAGCCGCAACTCATCTGTGGGAAACATCCACACACACATTAACACACACACTAACTACGGACAATTTAGCCTACCCAATTCAACTGTACTTTATGACTTTGGACTGTGGGGGAAACTAAAGCACCCAGAGGAAACCCACGTGAATGCAGGGAGAACATACAAACTCCACATAGAAATGCAAACAGAGTTGAGGAATTTGTTAAGACTTTAAATTAAAAACTGCTTATTAGGGCAAAGTAAATTGACATTTATTACTTATTAGGCAAATAACAAAATGGTCAGCACAATTAACTTTCTTTTCAGAATTTGGCCACTTGAATAATAGAAATATTAAAACAAAATAGTAATACTGTAGAGCTTCCTGATTTTTCTAGCCTCTCCTGTAAAAAGTATATGTGAAAATTCTGGACCTTTGTCAGAGTCTTTCAGTTTGAACCAACCGGACCCTGTTGCTACAGGCCTGATAATCTAGATTCTAAATTCTCTCAAAATTCTCCCTTTTCATTGGTTGATTGCTGAAAGGGTAGTTCAAGCAAAAAAAAGGAGAATTTCTTGTAATATTATCACCCTAAGGCTGTTCAAGATGAAGGTGGCTTTTTAATTTAGTAGAACTTTTAAAAAGATTATTAGCTCAAACAAGGGTCCTTGGTGATTCAGATCAGGATTTTGAACATCAAAAAAACATATACAGGCAAAACTAAATAAATACTTGGACTGCTGGCTGAGGCTGGATAAAACTTAGTGAAGTTTTTTTTTTAAACTAATTTTGAGAGCGCGACATGGTGGTAAGTTCCGTCGCAGCACAGCAAGAGGGTTGCTGGTTCTAGTCCTGGCTGGGCCAGTTGGCATTTCTGTGTGAAGTTTGTATGTTCTCCCCATGTGTTTTTGGGTTTTCTCCGTGTGCTCCGGCTTCCCCCACAGTCCACAGACATACGGTATAGGTGAATTGGATTAACCAAATTGGCCGAGTGTATGTGTGTGTGAATGCAAGAGTGTGTCAGTGTTTCCCGGTGTTGGGTTGCGGCTGGAAGGGCATCAGCTGTGTAAAACATATGTTGGATAAGTTAGTGGTTCATTCCGCTGTGGCGACCCCTGTTAAATAAAGGGAATAAGTGGAAAAGAAAAGAAATGAATGAATGAATGAATTTCAAGAGGGCGACATGGTGGCGCAGTGATTAGCACCATCGCCTCACAGCAAGAAGGTTCTAGTCCCGGCTGGGTGAGTTGGCATTTCTGTGGTGAGTTTGCATGTTCTCCCTGTGTGTTTGTGAGTTTCCTCTGGGTGCTCTGGTTTTCCCTACATTTCAAAGACATGCGCTATAGGTGAATTGAGTAAACTAAGTTGCCCGTTGTGTTTGAGTGTGTGTGAATGTGAAAGTGTATGGATGTTTCTTGGTTGAGCTGAAAGGGCATCCGCTGCGTAAAACATATGCTGGATAAGTTGGTGGTTGTTCCGCTGTGGCCGAAAGAAAATTTCGAGAGGATCACATGCTTATGATTGACCATGACTGGTCTTGATTAACAATCATACTATATACCAATCAGATGAATCCAAACGCACATAAATAACCTGATTTCCTTACCTTAGCCATCTTTATCTTGAAGAATCCTCCCATGCACCCTGACTTCTTCCCCTCTTTCCTAACCTAACTCAGGGGAGTTCTCAAGACCTACCTGAGCTCAGACTCAGCTTTCTCTCCTGACTAAACATAAGTTAGCCCCGGGCTTGAGGATCCTCCGAGCTTATGATGCCAAATACGCATTTACCTTATCAAGCATCAGCTAAGTGTGAAATTATGTTGTCAGTACCAATACATGTAGCACAGGGGGGCTCACAATATCCCTTTCCACTATCCTATCAAATTTGCATGTATTCCACAGGTCCATATGGGTTTCCTTCGGCTGCTCCAGTTTCCCCCACAAGTCTAAAGACATGTGGTAGCTATATGTGAATTGGGTATGCTGAAATTGATTGTAGTTTATGAGTGTGTGTGGAGTAGTGTGTATAGATGTTTCCCAGTGATGGGTTGGGGCTGGATAAGTTCATTCTGCTGTGGTGACCCAAGATTAAAAAAGGGACTAAGCCGAAAAGAAAATTAATGAATGAAGTTGATTGTATGGCAATGACAGTTTATTTATATAGCACAATTAAAAACAACCCAAGTTGACCAATGTGCTTCACAATAGCTAAAAACCAATAACAACAAAAGTCAAAGAGAAGAACAAAAATAAAATATACAAAGAATAAAAGAAAAAAAAACTTTTACCTGCTTGAAGGTCAGTAAGATAAAACCCAGTTCATGTGTTAAAAGCTTTGTCAAATGGGAAAGTTTTTAATTTAGATTTAAAAAATAAACCGAGGTGGTGTCAATATAATGCAAAGGGGCAAATCATTCCAGAGTTTAGGAGCAGGATTGTAAGCTTTATTTTTCATTTCTAGTTACTCCGTGAAGTACAGCTTGTTAAATTTAAGGCTGATTAAATGTTTAATATCTCTGCCCTTCATAATAAATGTAGTTGCTAGATTGTCAGCCGAAGCATTTAAACCAGTGGTTCTCAAACTTTTTTCTCCAAGTATTACCTCAGAAAAAATTGTCTCTCCAAGTACCACCCTAATGACTGGTATTAAAATACATGGTAGGCCTAAATAAAAGGCTAGAGCTCTGCACAGTTCTTAATTGTGGCAGAAAAAAATCTTATTTTTATGAAAATGTATTATTGTCAGCCACTTTAAACGTAATAAATAGTTTGAACAATATCACACCTACAGTTAAAATAGAGATAAATGAATGTCAACATTTAAATTAAAATGTGATTTTAAAAATTAATTAAAAATAGCACTGTTCTTAAAACGTTAAAAGAAAACTTTTGCTGTACTTAAATGTAAAGTATTATTATGAATAATTATACTGGCCAGCCCAGGTAGGCCCCACGCGGTCCATCCCAGGTGGGCCCCACGCGGGCAAGCCCAGGTGGGCCCCACGCGGGCAAGCCCAGTGACAAGAAAATGAATAAATGAATGTAAATAATGTTCAGATTCTAGCCCAGGCATTTTTTTGGCAAGCCCAGGTGGGGCCCCAGGTGGGCCAGCCCAGGTGGGCCCCACGCAGGCCATTCTAGGTGGGCCCCACGCGGGCCATTCTAGGTGGGCAACAAGTAGGCCATCCCAGGTGGGCCCCACGCAGGGACAAAAATTGGGACAAAAATTTGCGAGATATGCCCCCAGCAACCGTTACAATTATGGGGAGGAAAATAACCTCAAATAATAGAGTACATAACAAACATAAGAAAAATAAAAATTAAATAAAAAGTTTAGCCTAATAAAATCAAAAGTGTTTTTACTTGAATTATTCAGCGATTCCTCCGCGTAAGACTAGAAGGAACCCTGCGTACCACTTGTGGTACATGTACCACAGTTTGAGAACCACTGATTTAAACTATTTTCCCATAAATTTTCTACAAAGTTGAGTTTGAGTAAAATAAAAGAAAATCATCATTTAATATGTAACTACTGCTGATTTATTTACATTAAAACCAATAAAGTCAAAAGTCATTGGCTCTTTTTTTTAAAACAACAGAATTGGAAAATTATGTCATATGTGTGTGAATGAGTGTCTATGGGTGTTTCACAGTAGTGGGTTGCACCTGGAAGTGCATCTGCTGTGTAAATCATATTCTGGAAAAGTTAGCGGTTCATTCCGCTTTGGCGACCTCTAATAATTAAAGGGACAAAGCCGAAGGAAAATAAATGACTGAACAACACACTTTCATAGCAACTTGTGAATATTTAACGTTTTGCAGAAATGTCCAATGGGCAGCACGGTGGCGCAGTGGGTTGCACAATCGCCTCACAGCAAGTAGGTCGCTGGTTTAGGCCACCGGCTGGGTCAGTTGCGTTTCTGTGTGAATTTTGTATGTTCTCCTCGTGTTGACGTGGGTTTCCTCCGGGTGCTTCGGTTTTCCCCACAAGTCCGATAACATGTGGTATAGGTGAATTGGGTAAGCTAAATTGTCTACACTGTAAACCCTAATGCTGTAACTAATTAATTGAATTGAGTACTATTAACTTAAATCATTAAAATTCGTTTATCTTAATTAACCTTGATGAGTATTTAGAACTTTTTCTTATTTTTGAGTTTGAAAAAATTTAATCTTTCAAGTAAGGTGAACAATTCTGCTGGGTTTAATTTATACAAAATGTCTCTTTAAAGTTTCATTAACTCAAAATCTGTCAGCCCAGTGATTTTGCGTCTGACGTCATCCAGGTTCACGTACGTGCT